GCTCTCACACAGAGTCTGTAGTGGACCGGCAAGGCCACGGTCTGCATGTGCATGAGCTGGTAGTACGAGATGGTCGGCCTGGTGGAGGGAAGAGTGACAACCCAAGGATCAGAGGAAGAGTTTCCATCACTGCTCAAATCTGGAGGATAGAATTATAGAGCACTGTAGGCACATTCAGAACAGGTAAGAAGCCGATGACATTTGGTGACAGTGAGGTTTGTTCTGACCGAGCGCAGGGTCTGGTCGCTCTGTTTGATGACGTCCTGTAGTGTTCTCAGCACTGTGACCTTTGTGTGCTCCAGCTCCTGCTGGCTGGGTGGTGGCGTCTGCTATACAATTCCGGTAGGTGGCCTCCGCCTCGTCTGACTGCACACACAACATTTGTTTTATTAACTCTACACCAAGTATTATTGTTTGGAGTACACACCTAAAACACAACAGCAGTATAAAGGTACACAGGAGTAGATCTTCAGTCATTTTAAACAGAGACCAAACATTACTCGGATGAATCAAGGATGTAAACGTGGTTGTTAATGATACCAGTATATCCAATAGAGGAATACTTTATGAAATATTTCTTTCTTTTCTAAACAATGCATTACAACATGGTATTCCCATACATTAAATACAAAATAGGTTTTCCTTTCAAGACCTTTTGAATATTCCTGTTATTGTTCTGCTATTAAGGCACAAAGATGATCAATGTAGCAACCAGATCATAATCAGTTAAGTTCACCACGCGACTCTGATAACATCTAGCTCTTGAAATATTTTAACATGCAAATCAATAATCGTTCCTGAAACCACAGAGAAAGCCATGAAATAAAGCGGTTGACAGTAACCTTGTTGCGCGCCTCCTCCTCCACTCGTTTCTTCTTCTCCACAGACTTTGCCGTAGACCCTCCTCCTTCCTCCTCAGCGCGGCAGGCTGCTGTTTTGGCCTTCTCGTACTCCTCACAGCGGACCATAAAGGCTTGCTTAGCTTTACGCAGGTTCGCCTCACACTCCATCTAAACAAAGACAAACAATCGGTGGTCCGTATGTTATTGTAATTTAGAGATGAATAAAACGGTGTATTACTACATGTGCGCACAAAAATATAAGGTAAGTACCAGTTTCCTCTTAGCTCGAATCCAGTGCTCCTTGATCTCCTTCCGTCTCTTCTCATGCTCCTGTTTACGCTGCATCAGAGGCTGCAGAGCAACACAATGTGAACACACTCAAACACTCTGGTATAAATGGACATGAGTGACTGTCGCAGGGTGATTCATGTAGCAACAACCATCAGCGGAGCTTACCTGGATGAAGGTCTGTGTGTGCAGGGTGGTGTTGGCCAGCTGCAGCCCCACACTCTGCTCCTGGTCCTGCTCCAGAGCCAGAGAGTAGATGGAGAAGAGCGGCATCTGGGGCTGGAGGGAGCCAACGCAAACATTAAGGAGGTTTGATATACAACACAGAAAATGAGTGAAAGCTGTAATGCTTTATCGTTTCAGAGAGAACACTCGAGATGTATTCAGAAATGAAATGGTAAAAACAAAAAGGACTCTTACATGCGTTATGCTGTGTTTGCAGGAATGGTACAATCTCTGGAGGCCTTTGGAGAACTCCATCTCTGTTCAAAACAAAATGACAAAAAGGGTTAGCAATGTTTTGCTTCAAGTACAGCTAAAACTACTTTCCCTATATCTGTATATACATTTGAAATAAATGAACTCAAAATGTCCCGAACTTGTGTTATGTTTATATTTTCTCACATAACCCATTACATTTTTCTATTTAAACATGTATTAGCTTGAACAACGAGACAAACATACACCACAATAATATACATCTATTGTAAACATCAACACATTTCCTGTTAATCAATAATTTGATTTTTCTAAAAATATTCCAAACACTGAGGCACCCCCGCTCACCCAGGGAAGTTCTCTTCTCCACGTAGCTGATCAGGTCCTTCATGTATTTGGAGATGGTTTTGGCGTAGAGCAGAGCGGAGTCCACGCCTCCCTCGCTCTGCTGCAGGATCACATCCACTTCCTCAGCTCTGCCTGCACAACAGCACACAGACAAACAAACAAACAAACAAGGTGTGAAGTGATGATCTCCAACATCCTGTTATACATGTTGGTGCTGACTGTTTGTGATAAAGAGTTTCTGCAGCTGGCACTTAATTGTACCACAGTGTTTACGTCAGCAGGGGGAGACCTATTAGATATCGAGCATGTTGTAAAACATCAAAAATATAAACGGATGAAAGTGTACAAAAACTAGGGTGCCAAACTTTTTTCACCAGCCAAATGGGCAATGCATGTTCAAATTTGACAAGCCATAGATCTACTTAACACTTACGTTGACACACAATAATATGAACATTTCTTAAAAACTTGCATTCGAAAAAGGACTAAATGGAAAGACAGAGGTGCAGAAGCTTCACAAACTGCAGCCATGATGGACTGAAGTGAGTCCTCTAAATCGGTAGTGTGTGTATAGGAGCATCTGGTCGCCGTACCCATGTAATGCAGGTCGTTCCTGAAGTGTCCGCTGTCTGCCCCATGGCCTGTCGAAGCGTACAAGTTCTCCAGCGACTACACCGCAGCACAAAGAAGATTATCACTGTCTCACACATGCTCAACATTGACTAAAGAATTCCTTTATTTCATCCCAGAAACAGCTTTGAGAGGAAATCTCCTTCTTTACAGTAATATATTATTATTATTATTATTATTATATTTGGTTAAAAAGTTGACATAGTTCATTAGACCAGGGGTTCCCAAACTTTTCAGCCAGCGACCCCCAAAATAACAGTGGCAGAGACTGGCGACCCCCTGTCGACGGGGGGGGGTAGTGAATTAATTTCAGTTTTCCGCACAAACACTGCGCTAGTGGATTGTCAAAGGGGGAGCCTCGTTGCGGGGAAATTATACAGATTATACAGATGGCTAGTCCGCCCCTGAAAATGTCTATGCAAACGTTATTATTAATAAAAAAATTCCCAAAAAAAAGGTAGCAATTTTTTTGTCGTTGTAATTTTCCATTTNTTGTTCTTTACTGTCGGGTCACTTAGGCCGGTTAGACAGGTTCACTGCTGCACGAGACTGACGGGCTGTAAGAGGAAAAGAGAGCACCCCGTTTACTTTTCCCATCTTATTATCCAGAATTACTGTAAACATTTGAATAAAGTAGTTAATCTACTATTAGTAGTTTGTGTAAATGCATTAATTATGTTTGTTTTTTTCATTAACATAACATAAATCTCACGTACCCCCTGCAGTACTCCAACGTACCCCTAGGGGTCCGCGTACCCCCATTTGAGAACCACTGGTCTAAGTCAGGGGTTCGCCAAACTTTTCAGCCCGCGACCCCCAAAATAACAGTGCCAGAGACTGGCGACCCCCTGTCGACGAGGGGGGGGGGTAGTGAAACTCTGCGATAGTGGATTGTCAAAGGGGGAGTCTCGTTGCGGGGAAATTATACAGATGGCTAGTCCGCCCCTGAAAATGTCTATGCAAACGTTATTATTAATAATAATTTTCCCAAAAAAAATGTAGCAATTTTTTTGTTGTTGTAATTTTCCATTTTTATTTTGTAATCATCTCGCGACCCCCACTCGGGGTCTCGCGACCCCCACTTTGGGAACACCTGCATTAGACAACAATCTATTTGTAATAAATGAGCAGATTGTGATGCACTCACCCTGCTCTTCTCAGTGGGCAGCTGGGAGAGCAGCGTGCTGCTGTCCACCTCTCCGATCAGCAGCTCAGACACACTGAGGAGAAACAACAAAGAAACCTTAACATCGACCGTTATGACATAAATACAAACGTTTTGTAAATATGATATGGTTGGGATGTCGCAGATGGTCATAAAAAAACATTTCAGTTTTGGTAAAAATGGTAATATATCATAAGGGACTTTAAAAAGGCTTTTTGGCTCAGTGAAAATAATCGCCATGATGAATGAAGCAGTAACAATTATCTGGGTCTAAAAATGACCAAAAAAAGGCAGATTTTCCAAAAATGAAAGCAGAAAGAGGAGTCTTTGGTTAATTCGTACCTCTCAAGCCTTCCTACAAAGACAGGAAGTGATAACTTGTATTGATTACTTTTCTCTACCTTTTATGATCATACTCTCCAACATGTATACTGTATGACAAAGTATTCATTCCATTTTTTAACAGATCCCTCATCAAATCAAGAAAAAGCATTTTTTTGACATCCTACATTTTGGTTTATGGAGTTGAGGTGCTTGCTGAAATAAAGGGTGAGGAAAAATAAAAACAGCATCTCCATCTTGTTTTTGTTCTTGTCATGACAAACAATTAGTCACACGGAGGAAGAGCGGAGGAGAGAATGAGGAAACAGATACGTCAGGCAGATTTCAACTGACTGCCAGCTCACTTCCTCCTGAGCTCTGTGACAGATGAGTAAACCCTGAAGTGGCACAGACACAGAGCATGTGATGAACGCTCCGTGAAATACGCCGATTACACATTAAACTGAGACTACTGTGGGTTTATTTCATTTATCATAATGTATATTTTTAAAGATTGAAGACATAGTTAAAAAAACCTAAATCCCGGAAAAACATTTAATGTCATGTTTAATTATACGTCTGATTTAAAATCCTGAAATAAAGAGACCGTGTTTGTGATTTGTTATCTTCTCCGTATGTAAGCAATCTGTTCGAGAGCAGTCAACAGCAGTTTAAAGTTTTGGTTGTGTGTAACACGGTAGAAAAAAAACCCACTTCCTGTTTTCAGCTCTGCCTGATGCAAATGTGTCACCATCGCTTCACTTCTCTCTACAATTCCCAAAAACAGAATACTTTGTACGCATTGAGCCGCACGCACTACCTTTGTCTGTAAAAGAGGTAATACCTGGCTTTATACAGAGAAACCTGTGTCCACATCAATCTCTGTAGCAAGGACAATAACTACCAGTAATAGTCACTACAGAGAATACAGAGAACTGTAAATGATCCAGCAAGGGTGACAATTCAATGTGAGTGTTAAAACAAGTTTAAAAAAAAAAGTTAAGATTTTATTGATTCATTATTTAACTAATACAGTAGCAAAAAAAACATATTTTTGTTTTCCTAAAGATGTGATATTGATGTACAGAGCTTTCTATTGTGTTTTTGTAATTAAATGGGCAGTATTGTTATAAATACTTTAGATTTCTATCATTTGAAATAATGATGTACAATTATTTATAGCTTTCAGTATTACTCTTGTTTAGTTTGTCTTTGTGTGAAATAATGAGTATTGATTGTGTGTCAGATGTTTTTTGTATCATGTGTTTTGATTTGTTTTTTGTCACTGAAATATTGTTAATAAATTACACAAACCCCACGAGGAGTATATTGTTTTTGATGCCGTTATTATTTGAAGCTAATCTAAATAAACAAAAATACTGGTGTTACTTTAGGATAAAAAATAAATGACAATCTGATCGAAGATGTATCAGATACTCACTTGCTGCTAAAAGCGACTGCGATGGTTTCAATGGCCTTCTCAAAGTCATTTTTATCTGCCTCGTTACAAGCCTCATAGTGGAAACCTGAAAAATCACAACCAAAGCATGTGTTTAGGTTTCAGTTGTGGTTGGAAATTAAAAACGCTGAACAAATGAATTCACACACCTGCAAATTAAACTATCTTTATACAGGAAATACAGTATTACCAAACGATGTTAAAACAGTGGAAGGAACCTTTAACAACTGACTGACCTTTGACCTTGGATATGAGCTTGCCGGCGGCGGTGAGGATCTCCACGGTGTTGAGCAGAGGGTACGTGTTGATGACCTGACGCAGCACTCGGAGGACCTCCCCCAAACACTCGTGAGCCACGGGACGCTGACTGTCCTTACCTGGACGAGAGGGAGGAGAGAGATGAATTTGGGTTTCTCAGATGTCAGAGTGTCCTTGAATGCATCATTAAGGGATAGTTCAGTGCATGCAAGAAATACAATTACAACTTGTTGGCTACATTTGACTGGAATCATAAGTTAAATGATTCGACGAGGACATACGAGACAAATACAGGGTTTCCCACACAGACTATACTTGGGCGGGCCGCCCAAGTATATTTCGCGACCCATTTAGTTGTTTAATTTTTTTTTTTTTTTTTACTCGATGCGATCGATTAACTTGTGGACAATGATCCCTCGCTCTACGCCTCCTGTACCCAGTCCCGGACTGGCCATCGGGAGGACCGGGGGGGACCGGGGGGGTTCCCGATGGCCTGGCCTGTTAAGTGGCCTGCCTCACACAGGGTGACTGGCTGTCTACATGATGTGGCCTGCCGACATGGCCACTGTCATACAGATCATAAATCAAAGCCCTTGATTGGTCTCTGTGTGTCATTCAAGCTCGGGATAACCTCAGCTCAGGTGAGGTAAAGGACTCTTGAGTGTTTAGATAGTTAACTTAGTCCAAGTTCTCAGAAGTTCTCAAACGGTTTGGTCACCATTTATGTAAACACATATTTCCATTTGAGAGGTTAGTGATTAGTAAAATATGCATGAATTAAAAAAAAAAGTTAACTAGGTGAAAAAAGGTAAGATACACTTTTAAAACTTGCTTAGAGCTAAAACTAGTCTTTGCTGCTGCCTCAAAGAGGAGAGAGACAGGAGAGGCTGATTCAGGAGCACAGACATACTCACAACTATAAATGAACCAAAAATAAATAAATAAACAAGTTTCCGTGTTTTTTTCATATTGGGGATGTTATTGGTTATGGCCATGATCTTATGATTATTGAAATGTATACAGTTCTGTTTCATATAGGTGGCGTTTCCATAGATCTAGTCTCTTTATTTGCCCCTCAAAGTGCACCAGATTGATGCATTTAACTCCAACATTTAAAAAAATCTTACCGGGGCAGCATGTCCCCGGACCCCCCTAGAGGATTTGAGGTCCACCCCCACTTAAAATCACATGGATAGGTTCCTAAATACATTTACCATTTAAAAAAAAAAATAGTAACCCATATATGTTTATTTGTGGGTAGTAGATTTAAACTATAGGGCTATCACTATGGGCCCTGCCTGTACCTGTTCGCTCTGCTATCACGTGAAGGGTCTGCTAACAAGCGACCAACAGAAAGGTTCATGTTAATGTACGTCACCTCAACCCAATGTTTCTATATAGTGGAAACCACAGGGAGACGGACAGTCTGAGCAGACGGTCAGGTCAGTGATAACGGCCAAACAGGTTCAAAATGTCAGACAGTGTCAACTCCTCTGCTTTGATGTCACTGGTGACCCATCTGCAGCCCGCATCCTCCCTTCCTCTACACTTACACACAGGGATTGGCTGGCTAGCTTCTTTCGGTCTAATGTCGCAACCTCACACTCCTCTGTACACCCTTTCTCTAAATGGAGGCAGCTCGGGGAGGAGGCCAGAGGGCAGCCGACCCACCCCTCCCTCAGTCTGTAAGAAAATGTGTGTCAGAGTGTCTGAGCAGCAGGGTGACCTGAACACTGTGCCAGAGAGGAAGTTATCTTCTCTATTGTTTTGCAAGATTAGAAACTAATTCTGGCGCTGCGGTACATCTGCTTTCTGTGGCTCATGGAAAGAATCAACTCACTTTCGAGTCAAATGGTTTGATGAGGAAACAACGGTGAGCTACAGATTAAAAAGGTGCTGCATTGTATACGAGGTTAAAACTTGAGACGAGGTTGGAACTCTGATTGTGCTGCAGATTAACAAAAGACGTGACGTTGCAGTGATGCAGCCAGCCTATCAGAGGAGGAAGTGTAGGACGAGGCCTTTCTTTCAGAGGCTATCCATCATGGCTTCCTGTTTTAGAAAGCTGGGTGGAGACAGAACGGAGCCAGATAACGGTCGGCAGAAGACACACAAACAAAGACCTTTCTATTTCATCTGGCCCATAAAACTCTGCTCTAAAAAAGCTTCTCAACACTTGGAAACCTTCAAACGGGGAAATACTTCAGTTGTTGAGCAGGTGGAGTCTACGCTCCATGAAGAAAAGGTATAGGTGCTTTTCTATTTTAAGCCACACTGCACGGTACAGGAGGGGAAGAGTGCGAGTACGAGGCTGCAGTAAACAAGAAGCCGACTTCCTGCTGGAGACAAGAGTGCGGTCGGAAACGCAGCCTTCACTTGGAGAGAAGACGCTCACAGCCACTTGTTAGCTTGTGCAAGGTGGCTCCACCCTCACTTTTCCTCCTCCCCTCCCCCACTCGCTACGCACACGTGTTGGTAAAGAGAACCGGTGTACGATCTACGAAAACCTTTTTTGGATACATGATGTCCTCTCATGTAAGCCCATTGTTATCGACTCGAGCATTTAACCATGAAGGGAAGCTAAAAGGCCAAACAATGTTGTTTGGTCTGCAAACTCTTACAGATTCATATCTCCATAACACAAGAAGAAACTGACATACCGTTGTATTAACCATAATAAAAATAAAAAAAAGAAGTATAACTACTCACACAAAGAGAATATATTTTATCTCCACAGTAGAGAAAACAAGCCTTTTTCATGACTGTAGGTCTGTGATCCCAGCCCTGGCAGTGCATGGTTCAAACACAAATCACCACAAACTCTTTTCAGTGCCTTGTAATTTGCCAAAAACGCAGCATCTGACAAGACAGACAGGAGCCCGACAGTACATCTGTGGGGCCTACAGAATCATACTCAATGTTTCTATTGGATTATTTATGTCTGGCGTAAGTTTGATGCCATAGCTTTTAAAAACGTAAGGCTTTGGTGGGCAACACTGAAGAAGCTACATGTGTACAAGTTAACCAACCAAAAAAACCCAGCCCAATGCCACCTACTCTAGTTATGAAATAGAATGAAAGTAGCTAGGGACATTCCAAAATGTAGCAGGAAAGTGACACATTTCTAACCACTCATGGACCATCCCATCAGACCTCTTTAGTGTTAATATGTCACTGTGCTCACCTTCAGTCAGCACCACATCCTTCAGTTTCTCCACAGCCTCTGCGAAGCGGGCCACGTCCCTCAGCAGGGCGGGGATGTCCTCCACCTCGATGGCCGTGCTCTCTGGACCATCAGACGGAGTGGTGGGGGCGGAGGCTGTCTTCCCCTGGCCTTTAGAGAACACCCAGGACTGGAGAGGGAAACCTGAGGAGAACAAATGCATTGTTTAAGTCATTTATCTATAAAAACTTGTTTTCTGTTCTCTTCTAAAGGTGTATCTATTTTTTTTTTTTTAAGAAAGAGATTTTAATACCTATCATGTATTGGCTTATAAATAATACCACCTTCTCACCAAGCCTTGTACATACAACAAAATCCCCTTACCACCACCCCTAAATCTCACTAATTAACTTGTTACTTCATTTTTGCTTAATTCATAGAAAATCCAACGTGTAAATGCAATATTTTGCAGTTTTCTGTATGTAAAAAAACAGTGCTGGTTTGCTGATGTTTTTACCTTTAGCTTGAATGCACTACTTTTCACTTTTGTTTAATCTGTTAATTATTTTCTAGATTAATAATTTAGTAGTGTTATCAGAAAATAGTGAAAGATTATCGATCCCAGATTCTCAAAGTGGATTTAACATTTTGAGCACTGCTATTGTGTCTTCTTCCTCCAGATCTGGCTTTCTGTTTCAGCTCAGGTGTACAGGTGTGAGACATCACCAAGTCTATAAAAGGAATATATGGATGTATAGTATGGATGTGTTGAAGCAGACCTGCAGCACTGGCGTGTCGGCTCAGTGCAGTCGGCCTCTTCAGGGTGGACACTGGAGAGCCCACCCCCTGCATGGCCACCAGCTTGCTGTGGTGGATGCTGGGGGTCCCGGGGCAGGAGGCGGAGGAGTCCTGAAGCCCGGCAGAGGTCGGGGTGAGAGTTGAAGCGGAGGATAAGGGTGAGGAGGAGAGGGTGATGTCAGCTGCATCTTTCCGAGGCTGCTCCTGCAGGATGGAGAGCTGAGAGAGGGACAGGAAGAGAGAAAAGGTCACAACGATCACATGATTGAACCTTTCCCAGATCAGCATGAGGGCACCAACAGGACCCCTTTCTGCTTATGTGGCCTTAAACACAGAAGCGCTGTTGTTGGTAAACACACATGTGATGGCTTTCACAAGATCCTGTGCTGCGTTGTGCAACACTTCCTGACTCCGAGGTGTCATCGGGTGTGGCGAACAGAGCGGAGTGTAGAAATGTCATTTACAATTTGGAATACAAACTGATATTTTTCTGAGAAATGACACTCCTCTGCCAATAAAACACAAATTAGGAGGCACCGAATTGTTGTTTTTTGGCCTGGTTGATGCATCTCCTTTCAAACTTTTGGTAGACTTATAGCTCAGGGACTTGGCTTGGGACACTGCCATATGCTCTTTAGCAAGGCACATAACCCCTAACAGCTCAGGGCACTATGCTGCGACATCACTCCACATTGATACACTTGTTGAAATTTAGAAATTAACAACAGAATGAAAAAACATATGTTCCCTAAGAGGATAAATTAAGTACATTTTCATTATTAGTGCCTTCCTAACTCACGGCTACGAAAATAAGAAATAGAAAAGCATCCAATATCTATATGATAACATTCATAAGCTCAGACATACCTGCTTAAGCCACACGTTTTGCTTGCTGGGCAGTATGTCCAGTCTGTCCTTGCTCTTTGCCTCAGCTTTCTTAACTCTCTGACTGGTAGAGTAAGGGTTGTAGCTGCCCTTACCGACCCGTCTCAGCATGCTCCTTCTTCCCCCTACAGCTCTGTCCCCATTCTAACTAAAAGCACCAGCAACTTCTTAAAACTGATCTCACCAGAGCATTCACACACTGCAACCCGCCACAGCTTCAGTGGTAAACCCCAATATCAGAAGTTACACTTCCTTTGAGTCAGATGAGTCAACGTGAAGTCAGGCTCACATCAAAATGGAAGTCAAGACTAAAGTAGTCAAACAGCAATAATGCCCACAACAAACACTTGACAAAACAAAAAGTATTTGTGCAACTAGGCAAACATAATAATGATTTGACTAGGCTTTTTAAGACATTTTACCCAGTCAGACTACATCACAGTCAAAAAGCATTCATGATCACACTAAAACTTGACTAAACACTTACATTTGGTTGAGTGCAGTCAGGCACACATCAAAATGGATGTCAAAACTAAAGCTGGCCAAAAGCATTAATGCTCATACAGAAACTTGACTAAACAAACTTATATTAGGTAGTGTGAGTGAGGCACACATCATAATAATTTGACTGGGGTTTTGAAGTAGTTTCACCCAGTCAGACTACAGTTGAAATGCATCAATGCACAAACAGAAATTGACTTAACACAATTATATATCTGCTGTTAACGGCTGCACATTCACACACAAACACACACTATCACCACTTGTCTTGAGCCCTTTCTGTGGCCTGTCCCTCCAGCTGAAGGTCATCTGACATACACTTACACACGCACACACGCACACACACACACTTGCAGAAACCAGAAGTGATGCGCTACTCACGGCCGGGGCGCTGCTCTGTGGCCCGGGGCTTCCTGCTCGGCTCTTCTTCGAGATGGATGGCGTTTTGATCAGTTCCCGTTTCTTCCTGTGGAACATCTTCAGCGTGCCTTTGCCGTCCATCCCGACTCCTTTGAGTTTCACGTACAAACCCCCCACCCACCCCCCGACTCGCCACTTGGGTGCTGTGTGTCTCAGCGGGAGCTCGGTGCCATCCCTGGAGTGTTTGATCCACGGTCGCTGTCTGTCTGTCTTCCTCCTGTTGCTGCTGTCGCACATCGAGGCGCGCAGACTCACTGACGGAGAGACAGGCAGGTCACCGGCATCCGCTCTGTAGGAGGAGGAGGGACACGCGGGTAAAACTCGACTTTTCACTAACTTTTGGGAAGATTAACTACGTTTCAATTACGGACAAGGAACTGTAACCTCAACCTTTGTCATTAACTTAAACTTACTTTAAAGAGAAATGATTGAAGCGCACTAACGCAGACACAAACAACTGTTGCTTTGTCCAATTTCACAGTAATCAGCTCATCCTGATACACGTGTGTTTGAACATGTGACCTTTTTATTAATGGTAACCCTCCGCCTCCGCGTGCACCTGCTCCAAAGTGTAGACCAATGCTAAAAGCATCAAATTAAACATGATAATATGATTAAACAAAAGATCATAAGACATCACACATTTTCTTCAATGCATGTTTTAATAGGCCTATTATGGATGCAAAACAAATGTGGGTGTTTTAGACTGGGATCTCCTTTCCAATCAGTGTGTGTGCAGCGATAAATGTATAAATTCTTAATGCATGAAATGAAAGAATACATGTTTAATGTGTCAGCAGAGGAAGTAGAGGGGCTCGATAAACCCTGGGGCCCTTCTCAGTTTGTGATCATTTATTTGTGTACATTTTTTAAGAATATGCCTCTCATGAGGCTTAGGGTGGTCCTTAGTGCCATTCATGGGCGTAATTTCCACTGGGGAAAGGGGCACATGTCCCCCCCACTTTTCAAAATCCCGTTTGTGTCCCCACCACTTTTCAAATGTTTTTTTTTTAATTTTAAAAAAAAAAAAAATTTACGCAAGTAAAAGTGGTCATGGAGGAGCGTCTGTGTGTGCGTGGCAGGAGCGCATTTTGTGTGTGAGAGAGAGACAGAGAGAGTTACGGGGGTTGTTGTTAGCATCTGGTGCTAGCTCGGAGCTAACGGAGATTACAAGCTGTTTCAACAATAAGGAGAGGGAGAGTCCTCTCCTGTCGGACTGAGAGGCTGAGGTAACATCAGCTCAGGGAGGTAAAGGACCGCTGAGTGATTATATTGTAAACTTTAGTCTAAGTTATCTCAGTGGGTCTCAAACGGTTTGGTCTAAACAAATATGTCCATCTATTTAATATAGTTGTTCAAAATAAGTAAAAAAAGTATTCCAATGTCAGTAAAGAATTAAAAACACAGTTTGAAAGGTGAGTGATTAGTAAAATATGCATAAATAAAAAGAAAGAATTCAGACTAGGTAAGATAAAAATAGGAGAGAGGAGTATATCAATGATGTGTTATTGGTTGTGAGAATATTTTAATGGTTTTTGGAGTATTGAAATATATACAGGTCTGTTTCATATGAGTGTTGAGAGCTGTATCCATAAATCTCTTAATTTGTGCACCAGATTGATGCATTTAACTTCAATTTAAATAAAAAAATCTTACAGGGGGTGCATGCCCCCGGACCCCCCTATAGGATGTGAGGTAATCACAAATAAAACAGGTTCATGGATAGATAAGTTTGCACACTCATTATATACACTACACATTTTTCTTTTATTAGTTAACACCATAGTCCCTAATATATATCTGTAGAAAGGCAGGAAATGGAATTAAATCAAGAACAATGTTTCATTTCGGAGGACACCCTGTTTTGTGTCCCCCCCACTTCTCAAACCAAAGTTACACCCTTGGTGCCATGTAAATGTTCAAATTCATTTATTTTAAGCTCCAACCAACGGAATTTGTTATGATAGTCAAGAAAACTCTCCTGGTGAATTGTATTCAAATTCCAACAACATTTACCCCTCCCTCATCGACAGGTTGATGGAGGGGTAAATGTTTTCAGATTGAGGAAAAAGTTGACCAGGAGAGTTTTCTTGACTAATAGAATGAATTCTGGGGATTGGAGCTTAGACTTTCCGACTTTCAATTTTAAGGACCACCCTAATGAGGCTGATATACTAAATAAATGTTTGAAACAATGTTTGAAAAAGGGCTTTTGTACAAGAATAGGTCAAATGCAGAAGCCACATTTCATCTCTATATATCAAGTTAGTGGCATCTGTTAAACAAAATGAATAATCAATCAGATCGATGGATTCCAGAGAAGAGGAAACTTTGAAGGCCTTTTTCTCAAAATGATGACTCGGTGACAGTCATTATATAATGTGACATATTTTGCTTAATATTTGGAGTACAACAACAATCCTGATATCATTAGAAAGCTAGGAATATCCTCTTTCCAACAGTTTATACAACTCAAAATGTGTCTTCGGGTCAATGCGACTGAATTCGATAAGAGCAGGTCACAAATACACAATTCAGTATATAAACCACAAAATAACTGCTACAAAAAGAACCTGCTGTCTTTGTGACATTTGTGTGTTTCCCAGTTGGTCATCCAGACTGGAAGGAGAGAATAATATCAAAACTGTGTCACAGTTGCTTTAAAGTTTACTTGATCAATCATTGTTTGTCTACAAAAAAGTAAATTCCACATGCAGTTAATATCAGAGATCGAGGTTGTATTTTATGTAAATCCTGGCAAAGACATTTATAGCATTTAGTAAAATTAAACAAACCCACTTTTGAAATCAGGAAAACATTTTAATGTAGAAAAAGTGTCATCACAACATTTCATAAACATTCCATCATATTTATTTGAAAAGACTCATTTATTATGACTTCTAATAAAACTAGAATTTGTTTACATGTTACATGCAGTAGCCTTGTCAAATGGCATGATGATTTGTTTGACATTTAAATAAAAAAAATATGAAAAGAAATCGGGCACGTCTGTGAGAACCTTTCTTCAAAAGTTAAAATGTTTAGTAATCTGTTAAAGGTTGTAAGATATCTTTAACATCCCACAACTGTACAAGTTTGTTGGGGGGGTGAAAGCCTTTTCATGTTCTTGTTAGATCAGTAAACTCCAGCTGTAATCCTTGATGTAAACTCTAGAGTTCTGTTGCAGGACCCCATTCAATGTCCTCCACCTCTTCCTCCTCCTCCTCTTCCTCCTCAGAGCTGTCGCTGCCTCGGATCTGTGTGCGTCTGAACTGCACTGCCTGATGATGGTGTGCTAGCCTGTCAACAAGAAGGAGCAAGGGGTTAACATGTTGCACATAATCCTCACTTTGGCTCTACTGTGAATACCAAGGAGAGCTAAAGAAGACTTACACGATGAACTGAGGGCCTTTCTTCTCCTCTGCCACCGCCTGCGGCTCTGCAGAGCGCGCCTGGAAGAGAGGAGAGAAACATCATTTTAGTTTTCTATAGAATAAAAAAATGGGCCTAAAAAGATACATGTAATAAATCAGCATTATACAGTTTTTTCATGGATAATTAAGTGACATTTTCTTCTTCTATTACATTACTGACAAGCATTTTCAAAACCAGTTAAGAAAAGTCAATTTACTTAAGACTATAACCTTTACATCTGGGTTAAAATGGTTGAAATGCAGCTTTAAATGTTTCTGTCTTACACTGCTCGAGCATTCATTTGTTTGAGGGAAAATCAGTCATATTTAAAAACTGTTAAACATGAAAGAAAAAATATAGATAATGTAGTAAAACATAAATGCATTACTGAGGTACACTGAGGCTGCAACTAATGATTATCTCATCCTCAAGTAATATGCAATTAATTACATACTTGATTACTTTGCAAAATATTAGGAAAAACATTTCATCTCAGTTTTTCCTAAGTGCAAGTTGCCTGTTATGTCAACAATTCAAACCCAAATATATTGACATTGTTTTCATTGACTAATAAACCATCAAATATTTACATCTGAGAAGCTAAAACCAGGCGATGTTTGGCATTGAAAATGATGTATTTTGTTAATTTACTGACCAAACTTTAATAAACGTATTGTTCCAGTGCATTTGGTTTAAAGTGAATGGCCTTAAATGCATAAAACACAGATATAGTCCTTTAAAAAAGAGCAACATTTAGTTTACCCGTTGTAGTTTCTCCTCGATGACAGACAGGCTGGCACGGGGCGGGCTCTCCGGCTGGGCCTCAGCATAAGATGGCTCGTTCACAGAGTGGCGAACATACGGGTCAGGGGCTATAAAGTCTGGGGGTCCTTCTGATGGAGGGGTGGGTGCAACTACCTCATGCGCACTGAAATCCGAGTCTGAGAAGCTGCGGTGGGAGGGGTCCTCCTCCTCTGCAGCGCTGTGCGGGGGGCTGTGCGGGGGGCTGTGGCTCTCTCTGCGGGACATCCTGGGCTCGGGGACGTGCATCAAAGGCGGGATATCCCGGCTCGGGTCTTCTTGAGGCTCGGGGTCCTCGATGGGGCTGAGGCGCTCGGAGGCGGGCTCAGACGATCGGGCTAGGGCAGATCCAATAGCCCGGGACCCTCTGGGGACCCTGGGGGCAGCGGGGGCACTCTGCCCGGGGTACGCCTCCTCCAGTTCATCGTTGTCAGTGTAGGCCTCTCCATCAGTGTAGGCCTCTCCGTCAGTGAAGGCCTCTCCGTCAGTGTCCTCCAGGTCACTGGCAGCACTCAGGTAGTCAGACTGCGTCTGATCCAGAGCATCCAGGTCCTGCTCCGCTCCGGTCTCCAGCTGCAGAGGAGAAGACAACACATTTCATTAGTTTTACAGGCAGGAAGAGACGTCCAATGAACTGTCAGTTACATAACAGATTAGGTTAATAAAAAAAAGTCTCAGAATATAAGAAAACCAATACACAAGAATCTAACATTTTTTAATCAATCTTAATATATTTTTTAATTTGTGTATTTACCATTTTTTTACTTGAACTTTGTTTATTTACTGCACTGTATCACCAAGTCAAAGTGTTTCCTCTTCTTGGGCAAATGTTTTTATGAACATTTGAACAAAAATAATTTCCAAAACGAATCATACACTTAAAAGATTAAAAACAAAAAGGCATCCGTAAATGCAATGTTGTAAATAATTTTCATTCGACTGCAGCACTATGCTTCACTTAAAAACAAAGAGAAAAGTGCTTACATGTGAAATAATCACTGAGTGTTTCTTACCGTCACTTCAGACACCCAGACAGGCTTTGACTGTTGGTGGCGGATCTTATCCTTCAGAGTCTCGTACCAGATATGAGAGTTTGGCTGCAGGTCAATACGTGCTGTAAAGGTCAATAGAAAAACATCAAACTAAAAGTTTGTACATTGTACAATTTTACTAAACAACTACACAATTAGAGAATAAGGAAACTAACTTTATATAGCTTTATTCTCAATGATGATATATGACAGAGACAGACTTTGCTCCTGTGTGATTACCTGAGAAAAGGTGGCTGCAGTGTTTCCTGAGCTTCAGGGCCTGTGTGTAAAGGCGTCTGGAGCTCTTGTTGGAGTTGGGGCTGTACCTCTGCCTCATGGCCTTCACGTCTTTCCTGCTGTGAGGGTCCAGGAACAGCACCATCGGGTGGTACTGGATGTAGTTCAGCCTCTCCACTGCAGTGGGCGTGATGTCCAGGAGGGGGTGTTTGTCCTAAGAAAAGAGGTAATGAAAAATAAGATGCAAGGGGTAAGCAAGTACACAAACTAAACAAGATTCATGTTGTTTTTCAAAGTGACCAAATATAAAAGTTGAGGTTTATTGGCTCACCTTCTCTGCTATTCTCCTCACAGTGTCCAGTTTGATAACTGTGGAGGCGCCGTCTCCTCCTCCACTGCGAGGAACCATGTCTACGCAAAACAGGAGGCAGAAAAACAATGTTTACAAAGTGAAGACACAACAGAATTACTAAAACAGAAAATGAAGGAAATATTTTCCTTATTGAAAAGAAGCCCCACAAACCTGCTGCTTCATAATCATCAGGCATCTCTCTAGTCAGTTTATCCATGGCAATATCATTAAGAGGACCCAGAATAACAATGGGTCTTTTGAAATTAGCTGGAAACAAAGAAATTCAGAGGTTAAAATTAAACTTGCTCCAGTCGAGTAAAGATATTAAATCAAATGTGTATGTGAGGTTAAAAACACACCAACCTTCTCTGAGCAGGACCCTCTCATAGGCCGGGAATTTGCCCTGGATGGTGAGCTGCAGCAGGTCTTCACGAGTCTGCCGGACGTTCTTTTCATTCTTTTTGTTGCCTTTGAGACCCCGTAGTTTCCAGAACTCGGCTCTCGATCCGGACACCTGCCTGTCTGCAGTCAGCCGCTGCGCCTGCTCGATGCTGGCCAATGTCTCCGCCCTGAGGGAGATAGTAACAGGATATCAAACTCAAACATGGTTGTTCCTAAAGGATCAGATTTTCTGAAGTGGTGTTGTGTGCGGTACTGATCTGTAGACAGTGTATATATCTACAAGCAGTATACTGCTGTCGGTGGGGCAGCAGCAAAATGTTTTACAACTACATTAAAAAACAACTGTCGCAATATTTGTAATATTTCAACACTTTATCTTGCAGGCAGATATAACTTTAGGCCAGAGAACTGAGGGTGTTATCTATGCTCATTTAAAAAGCCACCAGAATCCATAGATTCCAATTTAAACACCATAGTCACTCAATACCAACAACAAATTCATAAATTAAAGCAGTGGTAGGACGGCAAATCACATGTTCTGTGAGGTACATTTAGAATTTATTTTAATGGAGTCTGGTGGCTTTGAAGTGAGCAAAGATACCAGCTAGAGTTCACCATTGTGAAGAGTTGTTGACGGCAAGATAACGCAACGGAAATATTGTAAATAAAGCGTTCACTTAAACCAGTTTTAATATTGCATGGTAGTCCTTTTTTTAGAAGGCTTAAATATGTTTTTCTGCTGCTCCTGTCTACAGCGACTATGCTGGGACTACATTCTAATGTATCAATCTCAATCTCTATTTATTTATATAGCACATTTAAAACAACCTTCAGTTGACCAAAGTGCTGTACAGGCAATAACTACGATATTAAATAACAATGGGAGTGCAATAATAAAACAGTAATTAAAACATGATAAAAAGCACAATAACTAGAAATATATTTAAAAAATAAAAATAAAAACACATACAAATATAAAATTCAACTAGTATTAAAAGCCAGTGCAGAGAGGTAAGTTTTTAGCTGAGATTTAAAAAGTTCAATAGACTCAGCAGTATGGATATGTACTGGGAGGCTGCTCCACAGTCTGGGAGCTGCAACACTGAAAGCCCTGTCACCTCTGTTTTTTTTTTTAATGTAGGTAATAAACTGACCAAAAGTAAATGATACAACCCCACTTGTACACAAAAACAACGTTCACTTTAAAATAGAAATGTGAACCTCTATCCCCCATCCCTTCCGTACCTGGCCTGGTTGGGGATGGTGCCTTTGTCCATCTCGTGCAGGTCGTTCCCCATGCGGCTGGCCAGCCAGTTTCCCAGCTTCCCGCGGTGCATGGTGTCCACGACCCTGAACACCTCTCCTCTGGTGAAGCTCAGGCCGATGGCCCCCTCTGCCTCGTGGTCGAAGTGGGAACGGATGTAGAAATTGTCCGCCAGGTTAGACTTGATGATCTTCTTATAAACTGAGGAGAAGGAAAATGAAGATTGATACATTCAGTCACTGATTGAGAGTAGTGTTAACCATAATAATCATCATTAGGGGTAAACTTACTGTCCATCTTGTGCTGAGTGCAGATTGCAACCTGCTCTCCTTTCTTGATGTCCAGGAGGAAGTTGGCTGCCTCTTCTCGTGTGAAATGACCAAAATCCACGTTATTAACCTGAATGAATGAGAGATAATTGTAAGGAAAAAAGTTATTTATTTTAAAAGCTACTGACAAAATAGTGAAGATTTAAAAAACATAACATCTGACTTTTACAGTCAGTCAACTGCATTTTTATCTTAAACTTAACAATTAAATTGTGATTTGTTGAAACTCAATGTGCTGACTCATGGTTCTTTCTTTTTCAGAGCGTTGATCTGGAGTTTTCTTCTTTTTTTTTAAATCAGCCAACATATTAAAATATGGGCTAAACCCTTAAAAAGGTTATTAATGAACTACTGCTAGGTGTAGAGCATCAGTGTCTCACCTTCATGATCTGGTCTCCCTCTTTCATCCCCTCCTCGTACGCGGGGCTGTTCGGCTGAACTCCCCCCACAAATATGCCGACATCGTTGCCCCCAACCAGCCTCAGACCCACGCTGCCCTCCTTCACAAACGACACTGTGTGGAGGTCTGAGCTGTACCTGAGAGTGGAATTATGTGAATTAGAAATGAGCACATTTCTGCTAAAACGAATTTACTAGGTCAAAGATAAAGATGAAGGAACCAATGAGCATCACTCACCCTGGATTAGCTGAGGGGTACGAGTCTGGAGGCAGGGAGTAGATGGGCTCCTCTACAGGCTTTGCTGGAAGAGATACGGACATGGTGAGACTCCCTGCTGCTGCTACTAATATATGTTTCTTTGTTGTCAGTGAATCTCACTATGTAGTCCATAAACATTTTTTGAAATACACTAACACCACAATTTATAAAAGCTCAACATATTTGTTTTGACAACACGTTTTCTCATATGTGAAACTTGAAAACAATTATTTAGTAGTCAGTCTAAATTGTACTTTGCTGTTAGAGGTTATTGCAGTAGTTTAGAGTTGAGCCTTACAGTAGGCGGGGGGGTTGTTCTTCACTGAAATCCCAGACCGGACCGTACCATTAGCAGCACGAGGAGCTCTGAGAAGAGGAGAACAGAAATCAGTTGGGATATTTATCATAACAAATATACACTTAAAACTATTTATCTAAAAAGTTCCTAAAGCTGTTAACACGTTCATGTAACCGTGGCCCTTTTTAATTTCTTCAAATAATGTTGGCTGTGCTGATGCATTTTGCATAACATTTTGATTAGGGAGTGAGTTTTATTTAATTTTTCTATTTTGCAAGTTCAACCTGAGTTCCTATACGTTTTTAATAAACTGATTAGAGAAAATACAGACACTGCTGCATTTACAGCATTCAATTATGCATTATATAATTGCTTTGAATATAAAGCACTGGCTTCAAAATTGTAGTTATTACTATTATACTATTATATTATATTTTCTCATGTTTACCCCTATAATACAAACACACAAATATAAATGAATCAAAATCAATAATGTAAAACTATGGAATTATGTAAAAGAAAATGTTTTAACATCAGGACTCATTATCTCTGTGAAAGTGGAAAACAGAAACAGATATTTTTTTTTCCATCAGAGCCTCTTTTCATAAGTTAAGCACAAGGGTAGCACACGGAATACAGACTTGATTTTGATAAAGTGTGTGTCAGTTCTCAGACGTACCTGCGGTGGTTGTCTCCTCGCTCAGAGCTGCCCGACCTCCTGAGGTGTGACAGCTGGTCTGACTCTGAGGAATCTGAAGGAAACAAGGACGGTGGTCAAGACTAACTTTGACCTTTCTGATCTGATGATGACAGTACAGAGGAAGAGAGGAGGAGTGTGTGAAGCAGGAGAGTGAACTGACCGTCAGGAGGAGGTTCGGAGGGGGACGCGATGCGACGAGGAGGATCCTGCTTCACCGTGACTGAAACAGGTTTTATCTCAGGCTGGACTCTGAAGGTAAGACAAATATATTTGATCAACAACAAAATATAATTTAACCTTTTTTGTCATCTTGAGATACAGCATGTAACAAGAACAGTGCATTAACTGTAACAAATCAAGCTTGTTATTTAAAATATCTCATCTGACTTTCAAGATCTTTGTGCTAAAGACTCTTTGGGTGTGACTTTATTCTTATAAGATTACTAGAGACTCTGTTCAATGACAAATGATCAGTTGACTGTAAACAAATATTTACCAAACTGGAAGCATCTTGTGTTTTCTGCTTCTGACTAACTATAAAACGCCTGCTGGTTTACTGTCAACAGTGTTGGTTGAGATCTAATTCAGGTCATTGGAAGTACTCGGTAAATTCAGAGTTTCTGCTTCATCCCACAGATTGTGTTTATGAAAAAGGTATTGTATCATGACTTTTATTTATTTATTATGAAGTAATGTGTTTTATAGAACTTGAGACTTGACTATTAGGGGGTTAAATACTTGTAACATGTCTGTTGAGAAAAGTATTGTCAACATCCACCTGACTACTGACAAAACATCTCTGTTTCTCACCTGTATCTGTCGGTGGCTGGGTTGGAGCTCGTGCTGTTGGTAGACGCCCTGCGAGGCACGGAGGCATAACTGGCCTCTGATTCAGTCTCTGAAGGAGCTGTGAAGATGAAGAAATAATAGCTGCCATCAGGAAACAATACATTTTTCATTTTAGTAGATAAAAGACAGTAGATGTCCTTTTTTTTAAAGAAAATATTTATACTAAATCAACCATTTTTACCTCAGAGTAAGATGTGCTATATTTAAGCCACTAATAAAGCACAAAACATTTTAAATTCAAACCATAACACGCAGATGCCTCTCCTTGAAAGAGAGAGACGCATACACTTCTCTTAATGCTGGAAACATTCAATCAATTATCAACTGTTATTCATAAACGCCAATCTCACAAATGACACATTCATCATGTATGACCCCCTCTGTCCTCTCAGTGCACAAGGAGAAGCTCCCAATAGAAACCCCACAATTAACAGGGGAAACAATGGAGATAGGAACAATGGATGTATTGTTCCTATCTTGTGTACACACAAACATACATATCAAACACACACACACCTTTCTGTGGTGGGTTGCTGGCGGTGACGCTGGGGGCGCTCCATCGCGGCGGCTCGACCTGCGGCGACAGGGAGACGTCGGGCAGAACTCTGCAACAGAACAGAGGGAGGCGGGAGTGAGGGAGGAGGAAGACAACAAATCTCAGTTACGTTTGGAGCAGGGGGACCCGTGGCTAATACGATGATGATTGATGATGAGACTTAAATGTTGAATATTCACCTTAATGTCTCTGAGGGAAGCTCTCTCAATCATGGTTAACTGCTTTGTAACTGATCAAAATGAACCATTCATAAGCAGAAGAATTCTATTTCTAAATATGTTCTGAACTTGTTTGCTAAGAACTGTTTGAATACATGCTGAATAAAACATGCATGGAACTATTTTACAGGTGTTTGATTGGAATAGTGTTCTTCAGGAATAATTGTCCTCAGTTTAAATCGACATTTAGCCACATACAGGAGAGGCTCTGGTTCAGTGGAAGTCAATTTTATTTAATAATAACAAAATATCATCACAAAACAGAAAACACTTAGTACACAGCCAAAAAAAAAACAAATCAAGCAAAATCAAAAAGGCTTCAAAACGAGACTTAAGGAACACAATGAGCAAATCAAGCAAAATGGCAGAGACACAAAGGGGTGAATTAAGAACAAACATGTGATTAGCTAATGGTAAAACGGGGAGGCGTCTGCTCAGTGTCCCGGTCCGGGAGATGGTGTTGGGTTTCGGGGAGGGGGTGGGGGGGTTGGGCAGACCTTCATCTGTACCTGTATCTGCTGAGTGATTCCTGGCTGTACGTGGTGCTCTGCCTCTGAGGAGGAGCCAGGCTGGTCTCAGACTCGGAGTCAGAGTCTGAGGAAGAGGAGAACAAGAGGTATAACATCAGGTTGTTGTTGTTGAGCTTTTAGCTGGTAGATAAACGACACACACCTTTTGTAGTCAAAGGTATAAGTTATTTGTTTCTCACAACTTCTACAATTATTCATTGGTTTTAGTCACAAAATATGTTTATTGCGCTTTCCCATTTAAATAAACAGAGCACTATTTCACTTGTGTTATAATCCCGCTAATGTGAGCATTAGGGCTGCACCACATTCGAAAAAACTGACATTGCTGTTTTACACAATATGAAAAAAACAGGGACATTCACCATAAGCTATATTTAAAGTTTAGTTTAAAAGGTAAATACAATACAAATATACATCTGTTGCACTTTGAGAAACATTGCTGGCTGGTGGCTGGCTATTGGTTCCCTTATATGAGCGGAGCACATATTTTAAGACGTCAATATTACAGGTGATCATGTGTATTTAAGTGTGGGAAGCCCAAATCATGATGAGACTACAATTCGATTAACTTTGAAACCCTTGCTCACAGGCACAACACCAGGTCCAGACTTAAACCAGTCACCTTTAAAAAGGAAAAACAGACACGGTAGCTTTTAATGTTTTTTTCGTTAAAACCTTTGTTTTCCTTGATCTCAGGAAGGCTTTTGACACTGTTGACCACCAAGTGCTCCTTACAAAGCTGACTTATTTCAATTTTTCGGCAGATTCAATACAGTGGGTTAAATCTTACTTATCAAACAGAAAACAGTGCGTTTTGGTCAACGGTACCAAATCCCCCTACCTTGTCAACCGTGTTGGGGTTCCACAAGGTTCCATTCTTGGACCATTACTGTTTTCTCTGTACATTAATGACTTGCCTAATGTATGTCCTGATTTGAATGTACAAATGTATGCCGATGATGCGGTCATCTTTGTACAGGGGAAACATACTGAAATAATCACATCCTGTCTCTCAAATGCATTGGACAAGGTTCAACACTGGCTGAACAACATTTGCTTACAGTTAAATGCACAAAAAACAGTATGCATGATGTTCAGTAAAAGACAAGTCAAAATCGAAGGATCCAATGTCATAAATAATGTATGTGACGGGACTACGGATGGAAATTAGCTCAAAGCTAAAATCCGGCTAATTTACATTTCAAAGCATTATTTTGTTTAAAATGTTCATTAATGTGCATTGTCCCGGTTCAAATAAACGATTAAACACAGAGCCTTTTTTATTGTATGCTCTGTCTTTAGCTCTATTTGACTGCAGACACCTGTTCAGCAGCAAATATTCAAAGCAAATATTTTCAAAGAGGTGTTCGACAAAGTCCAGGATGTGTTCCATCAAAAATGTTTGAAAGTGTGCGTGTGTGTGTGTGTGTGTGTGTGTGTGTGTGCTGACCTGGGGGTGGGGCTCTGAAAGGAGAGCTGACCCTCCTTGGTGGCTCCTGGCGAACGTTGATGGGGGAGGATCTCAGCGCTACATGAGCAAGATCAGGAAGCACTCTGAGGGGGAGAGNAAATATTTTCAAAGAGGTGTTCGACAAAGTCCAGGATGTGTTCCATCAAAAATGTTTGAAAGTGTGTGTGTGTGTGTGTGTGTGTGTGTGTGTGTGTGTGTGTGTTCTATCTGCAGTCTAAATACACATGTTTGTGTGTGTGTGTGTGTGTGTGTGTGTGTGCTGACCTGGGGGCGGGGCTCTGAAAGGAGAGCTGACCCTCCTTGGTGGCTCCTGGCGAACGTTGATGGGGGAGGATCTCAGCGCTACGTGAGCAAGATCAGGAAGCACTCTGAGGGGGAGAGGGGGGAGGAAGAGGCGGTTAGGAATCGCTGGTGGAAAATTAAGTTTGTATTACTCATGGTATTACTCGTTTTTTTTTTTTATGAAGCTTAGTCCTTACTTGTATCTGGTGTCGGGGCGGGGGCCCTCTCTGCGCCGCGGGGGGGAGGTGCTGCGGTCAGAGTCTGACGCGGACACCGGCCGGCGGGGCAGGGAGGCGGAGGACGGGGCGCGGGAGGTGTTCCAGTTGGGGACCAGAGGAGAGGACCGGGGGTTTGGGATGCTGGACATACCAGACAGAGTCCTGGAGAAAGAGCAAATCAAAAAAGTAGATAATGAGTTCCTTCTTATTCTAACTAATCGTAAATGATTTAGATGAAAGTCAGAATGCAACTGAAACTAATATGTCTAAAAAGTCTGTATGTTTCCACAGCTGAATAGATTATCAATCTTATGCCCAAAAACTGTGTATGATCATTTTCATAAATAAAAACAAATCAACCAAGAAATGTTACTGACTTGTATTTGCTGGAGTTGTCCCTCAGGTCCGGGCTGGTTTTCCTGACAGGAGGAGAGGCACTGCGGTCCGACTCAGACTCTGATGGAGCTGAAGAAACAATAAACAACAACAACAACCAACATTAATGTATTTCTATTGTCCGACTGTGTACGACTTCTATTCATATTTATATAAAGTTACCCCGATCGCTGTAAGTCTCGGATTTTGATCCCCAACAGTGATAGGGGTACATTTAAAATAGCTATAGTTTAGTGATACTCAGCGGGACTGACCTCTGCGGGGAGTGTAGGTTTTCACAGGAGGCCGGGCCAAGGTGGAGCGCTGCGGTGATGGATCCCGAGACTTTGGGAGAGGAGCTTCAGCTCTCGTTCTGGGGTAAAAATAAATATTAAAAAAGTTAGAGAAACAATCTTGTGCCTTTTTTTCTCCACTTTGTTTTAACATTATAAGCAAAAAGTAATAAAGTTCTTGATGGGTGTCTCCCTTTTTCTCAAAATACACTTCAAATCTACCATAGACGTTTTCCAATGCATATTTGGAATTCCACAACCGGAAGCCTAAAGAAATCATGTATTAAATTGTATTTTACTGTATTGTCTTTGATTTGTATTATATAACAGTTACTGTGTTCACCACCTGTTTGCTCATTCTAATCACATGAAAAAGTCTGTTAAACAGATTATATCAGATGGCCTGGAGGGTTGAGTAATCAAACACATTCAGTGATGTCAACAGTTTTGCATTTTCACAGACAGACCGAGATAAACTGCCACAAGAGAAATAACAGTGTCAGGAAAGACATTAAACCACTTAAAATGACAACTAGTACATCTACAATGATTTCTGTTATGACTGGTGAGGTGGGTGCCGTGTACCTGCGTGTCCGTTTCTCTCGGGTGGGATGACGGGACGTCCTGTAAGTAGGGATGTCTTCATCAAGGTCTGAAATGTCTGATAGGAAACAGAAAGATTAGCTTAGAGAGCTGGAGATACACTTCAATAAGCGAGGCCAAGAATTCTGCAACATCTCACTCAAAGCAAATCCTTTCTCAATGATCATCTTCCTTTTTACACATTTTATTTCAGTCTAGCTTTAACTGTCGCCTCAGCACACCAAGCTAACATTGAATACCCCACCTCTCCTCCCCTCATCCTCACCTTCCAGCTCAGAGCTGCTGTCTCGGCGGCGGTCCTCCCCACTGTTGGGGGCGCTGTCCGCCACCTCCGGGATGCTGACCAGGAACTTGCGGTCATCTCTCAGCACCGTCATGGTCAGTTTCCCCCGGCTCTTCTCCACCAGGTGCTTTGTCTCCAGCAGGGACAGATTCTCCGTCGTCATGCCATTGATCTGGACGAGGAGAACAATCAAAAAATATAATAAGTGAGGAAGTCCCACACCAGGAAAAACAAGAGTTTGACGTGTCGGAAACAATGCGACTCAATAGAGGGCGTTTTGTTTTTGATGTAGAGGGGTACAAAGCTGCTACAGGCCTATATGGCGGGAAACACAAAATCCATCATGGATTCATTCCATTGCCTTAATCCAGTTTCAACAACATTGCAAGATTGTCATGAAATAATATATTTAATATTTAAAATGGAGAAGTTAACCCATTCTTTGCTGGTCCAAATACATTCTATAAAATGTGCATTTAATGATCAAATGTGTAACCCCAATGCTTTTCTGGATGAGACGAGTAGAAATGATGGTTCTAATGTATAGAGATACATTTTTAGAAGAGTGTGGGATGGGAATATGTAGGAAAATGCTAACAGAATAAAGTAGAAGTACGTAGGTATGTAGGCTGTATACATAAGGGTATGCGGGTGCATTTAGATGTGATGGAAAGAATAGGAAGAGTACGGATATTCACTTCTGGAAGTAAAGATAGAGGACTCAAAGTCTTCCTGGGTAACGGCCATCCTGCACTGTAGCTTTTGAATACCTCTTTCAGTGCTTCTGCATATATATGTATAAAAAGGGTTTTATATAAATATATTGAAAGACCAAGCCCCATTTTAGATTATCCAAATCTTATGTTTCACCTTGAGAATGAGGTCTCCCTCCTGCAGCGTTCCTTCTGTGGCAGCCAGGCCCGTCTGTGTCATGTGTTTGATGAAGATCTGACTGCCCAGCTTCAGTCCGTACTCTGCAGAAAGAGGACGACAAAAAGAGTTCAGTCAGACATCTGCACTCTCCCCATGTCAGTGCAAACCAACCCGGTGAAGTCTTACCATCTGTGATTTTCTTTTTAATCAGTGTAGTTCTGAGTGGTTTCTCTGGGACGTCCTGATGCGGTAGCCTCTTGTACCCCGAGGACATCAGTGGTAACGTGTTGCCGTGCCCGTTGCGCTCGGGTGAAGAGCTGCGGGCGCGGCCTCCGTAGCGCTTGGAGTCTCTGTTGTCGCTGCCGTCGGAGAAGCGTCGTGTTCGTCTCGGGGGGTCCGGGTCCAGCAGGTTGGAGTGGGAGACGGCCCGAGAAGGTCTGGTTGTGGCCGGGATCTGGATCTTTCGAGGGCGTTTCACTGTCTGCAGAGAGAAAGATGGAGAGGGCAAGGGTTTAGAGACAGTAGGCAGCAGTGCTTTGGAGATTAAAAAGTTCCAGTTGTTGTGATCTCCATACTTACAACATTTGCAGTCTTGCCACATGACTTGAGGGTCTGAATGGTGAAGTTAGAGTGGACGTTTTCCATAGCCACTGCATTGACCATCACAATTTGGTCTTTGTTGCTGCACAATGAAAGCGATTACGGAATAAATTAGTCCAGGCTAAAAACCCTTTTAAGGAAGAGTACATATATATTCAGACAGGACATCATCTGTGTTTTGATGAAAGAGTCAAGTTCATTTCAGATAAGTTCTGTTTGAATCTGGTATATCTGCATCTGTGCAGGTTCAAATCACAATTTTTTTTTTTTTTACATGATACTATTTGTAGAATTGGATTCATTAAGGATTCTTTCCAAACCTAGATTATAGTACAGAGCTTTTTATTAAAACAAATAATATATATAATTATTTCTAATATTCACAACATAGCTTATCTATGGTTCAATCCATACTTGTATTACTAAAAATAAGACTTATTTGTTCATAGTACACGGTACATAGTAGTCGACTCACAACAGTCGTCCTATGGCCGGTCCGTTTGGCAGCACATCGGACACCACCACCGCCGTGTCCCCGTTGTCCGGGTGAGGCTTCTCCTTGCCTCCTGAAATGGCAAAGCCAAACCCATACTTGGGATCCTGTCATTATGAGAGAACGAGATTTAAAAAAAAGGCAATTGGAAATGACAGCAAGTAGAAGACAGAGTTATATAACTGAAGATAAAGAAGGTAAATGTCCAGAGAGGCAGAGGGAGGAAGAGCACATTCCAGCGGCGCTCAGTGGGAGGACAGTGAAGTCGGCCGGGGTGCAGCAGCAGGGTGTGTCACTTTGAATTCCTGTGTGCTGTGAAACTGAAGCAGGTCCAGCTCATCCCTAACGAGCACTTTTACAATACCCGCAAACACAAAGCTGACTGTGTGTCATCAACGAGCTTCGACTTTCACTTCTGTATTTGTGTAGCGATTAAACACAGACCGACTTCCACTGATGCACCAAAGATAAGTGGTCTACTTTGGTTTATTGTAAATCTAATGTATTTATATGACATAAAGTAGGATTATACATGAATGCCCATAAACCAACAGCTTATTGTCTGAAATGCATATCATTTCAATACCCTTATATTATACAACGTAACAAACAACCACCTACTTTGAGCAGTGTTATTGTATGTTGCTCCCATATCGTTAGCTCCTCCATTCCTGGTCTCTGGAACAAAAGAAAAAACACAACAAGGATTTTAATAAATGTATTCTTTAGAAAAAATATAAATTACTATTTCACAATATAAATATCAAAATAATTCATATCAATAGATAATCCAGGATCTTACAGGGAGGACAGTTGAGACTGAGCCAAGCAGGAAGAGTGTGTACGACTCAACCTGATCTCGGCATGCTCTCACCTGTCCCAATCCTGCCCGACCGGTATGGGGGAGGGGCTACCTGTGTGTGTGTGTGTGTGTGTGTGTGTGTGTGTGTGTGTGTGTGTGTGTGTGTGTGTGTGTGTGTGTGTGTGTGTGTGTGTGTGTGTGTGTAACACATTCAGTTTGTGTAAAATACTGTTTGAGGCAAGTCGGATGGCAACTAACATTTATTTTCTATTTTTTTATTATTGGATGATTATGTGTATCATTTTGTCTATAAAATGTAGATACATAATAAAAAAAACGATATGATTTACCAAAGGCTAAGGTGACGTCTTTTTCAGTGATATATGTATGACAAAGAAAAGCAACAGATTCTGACATAAGATAACAAATGTGCGCTACATTTTTTTAGAGCTCTACTGAATGTAGTTTTATTTGCATTTAATTATTGTCTTGCAATTATGTCACTAAAATCAAAAACTAATCAAAACGAAACATATTTTCAATTTTAATAAAATGAGCACATCTTCACCTGTGCATAAATACAGGCTTAAAACAGCTGTGCAACGGTCAAATGTTGATTGCTCCAGCTCTAGACTAAATATAACACATTGTGGCTGTTCTACAAACAGACCCTGTAAACGGTCAGTCAAATCGCTTGGCCCTGCAGGCTGAAACTGTAGAGCGTTTCTAGATACTCAAGTGTCCAGTCACCAGTTTGTTTGTTTAGGAGATTGTGAATATTCTCTTAAGCAGCCGGTTATCTCTTTGAAGACACTTTCGGCGTTTTGGTTACTGAAAGCTGTATTTAGAAGAAATAATTTAAACGTGCTGTTTAATCTCAGAGGTTTGAATCATTGTGGGTTGTTCTTGCTTTCATCTCACATGGGAGTCGTTAACGTCATCCGAGAGTCACCAATAAAAGGTGCACATTGTTATGAAACCACCTGAGACACCGTCAATGTAACCCCTCCCTCTGTTATATAAACGCTCATCTTTTCTTTGTCTTCTTTTTTGAGCAAATCTCCAGTTTCTGTACAAAAAACCATTCAGTCTTGACGACATACAAATCATTTGCTTACAAACCAAACCACAGATTTTCCCTCCGTGCACCAACGTGACGACATGCCTCTCGTGTTTATCTTTTTTCACACACCAGCACTTTTCAAAGGCAAACTAAAACAAAGTGCAGGGTGGCCTTTGGACAATAATTAATTTGTGTCCGGGTCACAGTAAGAGAACGAGTAGAGCCAGCTCCTCTAGTCAGAGACAGAGAGATACTGTCGGTGGTGAAGACAGTTTGGAGCTTGTTCAAACACTTGTGTGGAAAATGCAGGTGTTTGACCTGCATTACAAGACACAACAAGTGTCAACTGTCCTGATAGACTTGAACACATCACCTTAAAGAACAACATTAATGTATTGATCCTGCAAAGATATTGTCAGTACAATGAAGTCAACCTTCCTTTGTCAAAGTAAATAAAGATAACTGACTTTGATCGCAGCTGTAACATGAGACAGTGATAAAGGCAGAATCCCCTCGAGGGTTAGAAATAAAGACAAAGGTGAAAAGGATCCTTAACTAGACCATCTAGTGAAAGAAAATGAATACATGTTAATAGCACATGTTAACCCAGGTTGTTCTCACAAAGTAATGAATACAAATAAAATAATACTATACTGATGAAAAGGGGAGGAATGTCAAGTATGTTCACCACAACAATCTCAAACTGCCAGTGGGTGTAACACAGGTGTTCAGTGAGTGACCTGTGAACAGTGGGACGTTTGTTTGCACAAGTTAATCATAACCCTGAAAGAAAATTGAGGACTGGCTGACATAACTGCCTGTGAATTTTCTCAACCTGACCCGACACTAAAACTGTGTTTGATAATGTTGTTTCACATCAGTTACAGCTACAACATGCAGTCCATTGTTAGCAAAGCAATGGATGAACCAAAGAGAAACTTTCCTTTTAGAAATACAAGTCAGTAAAAGATTAAAAAAAGTCAGCTCATTTACACCGAGCCCTTTGAACCTGGGAACAGCAGGTCGTCCAGAGTAAACACGCCAAACCATTAACCAGAGCTAAATTCATCAAATGTGGAACAAAAAGCAAACATGTCGGTTTAACCACTTCATAACAGTCACTGGAGAGGAACTCTTTGCCATGACACTGATATATTGATCACAGCTAAAGGTAAAGAAAGATAATGTGCAAATGTAATCAAGCTATCAGTCCTAAGTGGAGGTAATTCTCTTAAAATAGGTTGAGATCGTCTAAGAAAATGTTGGCTTTTGAACAAAGGAGAGAAATGTCTGTCTGCACTGAAAAATATTTATACAAGCGGGCGTTTCGATGAATCAGACAGTCAAACTAATTCCTCTGACAACATAGGTATATTGCAAAAGCCTCTAAAAATGAGAAGTTTACCAAAATAATTTAACAAAAAAAGTAAGAAAGGCCATTCAGGGAAGTAATGTACTGTCTGCTAAGGGAGGCAGGTTAGAGGCCACAACCTCCTGCATCTTCAACATGTCTGTAATAATGGATGTCCTTTGTTAATGTTTAACAGCTAGGTTTGCGGTACTTCCAGGCAGTGATCCACTGTTAGACCATACATGCTTTGTGTTCTTCCCTCTCCACTTACCACATGATCCTTGAACCTCACTTCCATTTCCCACTGTGTCTTCTAAGCTGAACGAAACACCTGCGGCCTCCGGTGCTCAATGAACAGCCAGCTCTTGATATTCCATATGGCAAAAGCAAAAACAATCCCAGATGCCACAGTTCTCCACCTCCACGTTCCTCCTCCTCAGATCAGCTCTGTGAGGATGGTGGCTGCCGCCCAGAAGAAAACCTGACCTCCTCCTGCTGCTGAAATGATCTGTAATTGGAGCGGCTGTGGTGTTTCTCTCTCAGCGGGCAGAAAAGAAAGAGACCTGGAGGAGAAACCTCACCTGGAGCGCTCCTCCCCCCACCCAACCTTTGCCCACTCTCAGTCACTCTCCAGCGCCCAATCCATAAACGTGGATTCAGGGTGGAGCTGCACTGCAGGCAACCCCCCCCAACACACAAAGCAGACCAGCAGAGTATCTCAAATGTGAGAGGAATAAGATCAAATACAACTTCAAAGAAATACCAGCAAGAGGCACGTTCGATCGATTATTGACCAACTTAACTGCAAACTCTAAATTGGCTGTTTTCAAACAAATGTTATATTGATTTCTTTAAAATAAGCAACTTTCACTTTCACAATCCACTGCCCAATTTTGCAATGCAAAACTCATCATGTCCCATGCAAATCTTGCCATGTTTGTAGAGCTGCAGAGCTGCGAGGTGTATTGATTTCCAAGCATTCAATATAATGAATGATGAATCGTGTCAATCATTATTTGGGGATTTCATGGTCTGATAAGCAAACCCCTAACCCTCTGCAGTATGCACGAGGAGGCCCAGCTGACACATGGGTGGGCCAGTTTAATGCAGATTGCTTTTCTGTCCATTACCTCTCTTTATGTTCACAGACAGGCTTTAATTCCGCTAGATAAATAAATGGTTTACTTTTTTATAAATTCTACGTATATTTTTGTAATTATACAATTATATTATCTTTAGATTCTTAGAAATCATTGAAAATCACATTAAAATCTTAGCATTTCTGAAGCCGTTACAAGCAGAGATGTGGTAGTTATATTACAACTAAACGACTGACCTTTAACTTTACATCCGAGTAAACAATTTGTCTCAGGAGGACATGAATCAAAATAATTGGATTTTAACTCTAATGTATAATAAAGATATACTTTATACTATATAAATATATATTTAAAATATATGAAAGAATGATAAGACACTCCGATCAAGTGCAATAGATTGAATTCGGATACACAACCATGCAAACATAATGGCAAAGACATTAATAAAGACTTTGCTCCAGTACTATAAATCCACTTACAGGCACCACCAGCAGAGGAGGTGGAGGCCCCGGGGGCAGAGAGCCAAAGTGCTTCAGTAGTTTCATTCTCTGCGTCAGATTCATGATGATAACACTATCTTCTTTTAAAAAAAATGCACTAAGGTCTAACCATGATCCTTGTCTTTAAAAGGTCTTTAAAGTCTCCAAAAACAAAAACAATCAAGAGAAAAAGGCAAAAAAAAAAAAAAAAAGGGCACTTTAAGTATTCAACTTTAGAAAAAAGCAAATAAAAAAAGCTTCCAACAGATACTTTGTGTATCCAATGATCTGTGTCCTCAGTTATTCCCTTTCGGACGGGTTCATAAAGTCACGCAGGTCCACTTGCTCCCACTGTCAGAGGTGTGTGTGTTTCTTGGGTAACTGGCAGTGTTTCCCACAGGGCAGCGGCAGGCTGTTGGCTGTGTTTCAGTCCGCTGGCTGCTATGGTTACGTTGGGGAATGAGAGCGCTGGGCTGTTAATAATTGAAGCGGTGTTTGCTACACTACACGTCTGCTTGCCCTGAGTAAAGTTTCATGGGTTCCTGCACAGGCCCTGCAGAGTTTCAGGAGGAGGACATGACAACAGAGGGCTTTAGAGGGCTCTCTCATCCATGGGTCAAATCATGGGAGCGCTGCTATCTCTTTTTTTCTGTTTGATAATCAGTGCCGTGCCTAGGGAAGAGTCACAGTGACTCCTAACGGGAGCAGGAATAACATGGGAGGAGAAGTTACCTGAAGGGTGTTCGGAAAGGGATATCAAACAGCTTATCAAATCTTAAACCAAAGAATGTCTGACGCAGATTGGTTTCTTTACGATGTTACAGTTTAAAAACACGTGGGAGAATAACAAAACAGATGCCAGATCCTCGGCTAGAGTTCATCCAAGTGGAACAGTTTACCTCCAGGCTAAATTATTCATAAGTCTGAAGAAAACAGAGCATGACAAGCAACCACTATTGTTACTAAAACAAACACTCAGCAAAGGTATGCCCCCCCCTCCTAGTAGGTAAACACTCAATCATTCCTGTGTCACAGGCTCCACTGTGTTTATTTCATTTTAAGGCCACTCCTGTTGGCCTCACAACATGCAAAGAAATCTACTTGTGTGCCTTGTTCCACCAGTACCAAATCCAGAATCGCTTTTACGATGATACATAACTGGAATTCTTCAACAGTGCAACAATCTACTCTGATAGATGTTGATGAGTGAAACAGACTTAAAGCCTTCAACATAAAGGGGTTAGCGGTTAATGAGCAATACCAAAGCTTCCTCTTGTGTGTAGCGATTGAAGGACAAATACTCCAGAGGTTTGCAGAGCCCACAGACTGGCTGTAATTACACAGTGGGGCTTTGTAGCTCCCACTCACAGTGTAGTTACTCATGGCATGTACTGTCAACAGTGTTTAAGTACTGCAAACACCACAGTTATAGCTACCTGGAGTCACATACAGATGTCCTCACTTGGGTTATGGAGAAATTCACCCAAACACACCAAGGAAAAGTAACTCAAATGCATCTATAACAATCAATCAATGCAAAACGGATGCCTCAAGGAAAACACTTCAAAAACAGTACAAAGAATGAATGCAAATAGTTATTTAGAGCTAGGTTCTATTAAAAATATGATTAATTGTAATGTGAAATGTAGTGCAAACCAACTGTGTGACATAAAGGTACCTGAGGGTAAGTAAGTGAGCACGTTGTTTACAAATGTTAAGCTAAATAAACATAAATAAAAGTAGATAAATAGTCTTTTTTTTAATTATAACAGAGTAATATGTACTATGAGGCTATTACATTGTTATTTTCTGGGTAAATTGATTCATTGTTTGGCCTATAAAATATCAGAAATATTGACAAACGTCCATCCTAGTTTAAGGTGAGTTTTTAAAAGTCTAGCTGTGTTAGTGCAAAACCCAAATACATTCGGTTTATCATTATATTAAACCGAACGCAGAAAACCTCCATATATGAAAGGCTAAAACTCAATTTATACCTAGACATCAGTGCCTCTAGTATCAATGAGAAAGTCTACTTTATAGCATTATTAGATATTTTAAGTTCATTTGATTTAACAGGGACATCTTCTATATAATGTACATAGACAAACTGAAAACAGCCATTAGATACAAGTATCACTGTGGGAAGAGCAGATGTTCATTTGCATACCCATCCCTTGAAGGGCTCTTATTTAAATGGCATACATGTGATGAAGACATCTACTTAGATTCTCTTGATCAGCCAAAAGCAGGCGTTTTAATCCATTTACAGGATCTGAATTGATTGAGCATGTCTTTCATGTCACCTACAAAAACACAGGAAGTGAAACTAGGGCCTAAAATAGTGGCAAGCCATACCGGTCTAAATGCTTTGGGTTAATGTTTAGCATTTACTGATGCACTGATTGTATTGAAGGGAAATGAAGTCGCAGATTTTTGGGAATGCAAAGACGAAACTATTGTGAAACTCTGTGACAGACAGGTAGAAACTTGCATGTGTGGCAGAACCAGTAAAGTGAGGATTAGGAAAGTGGGGCTTGCAGCTGACAGTCACCAACACGTACACAAATACACAACAGGACATGTTTCGAAATATCCTGTTACCAATGGGTACATATGATATTCATACTAATATAAGTTGAAAGGCAGTACTCCGTCTTTCACTGAACTCACTATAATCACTACTACCTTGTTTGTTTATGCTGTTTGTTTCTTTACTTGATTGTGTCTCGTTTTTTTGTGTTGCTCAGTCTATTTTTTATTTCAATCCCCTTTCTTATGTCTTGATTTTAAGTAGAATTGTACTTCTATTGTTTATTGTTTGTGTATGTTTGAGGTTATAGCATCATCTCACCATTGTTGATTGAATTATGGCCTTCCTCTTTGTATTTTATTTCCCCTATGCTTCAGAAAAAGGAAATACCCAGTGAATAAGGTAAACCAAGGAAAACTCTCACACCGTGATAACCCAGGTGAAACTCAGGCTTATATGTCTATAACCAACAATAATTAGGAAGCCATTATGAATGTAGTCCTGTACATATCAAGTCACAGGCCTGTAACTGCTCAAAGCTAGTCCTGTAGCTAATAGCTACATCGTAAGAGGTGAAATTAAAGCTTGCAAATGTACACAAAATATGTTTTCTTTCTTAATTTGGTTTAGTAAAGCGTTTCTGTTTTTAAAATGTTTCTCTTGCCCCTCGTCAGGCTTCTAACATGTTTGACAGCCACGCTTTATCTGTGTTTGTACAAGGAAACATTTGACAGCAATGAAGCAAACTCACCTGTACACTTCCGCTCTGAAGGTTAAAACTGTGTGTGTCCGTCCCTCTCACACCACTCGTCGTGAAGTTTAAAAAAATAAAATCTTAAAAGTTGACTTGCCTCAGCGACTGCTCGAGCAGTTTGAAACTTTCTCCTAAATCTTCCTGAAGACAGGTGAGCAGGAGTGGCGTCCACGGCAGGTGAGTTTCACGACGTCATCACGCAAGTGTAGCGTCACCAACCGGAAGTTGGTCCTCCTCATAGACAAATCCTCCACCCAGTTTTGGTTGAGATAAGCACAGGTGGAAGAAGTGTTTACAACTTTTACTGGTAAAAAGTTGCATTTTTGCTCTTTAAAAATACTGTTACAAGTAAAAGTTATGTCATCAAAACTGTTCTTGAGTAAAATGTTTTTATGTAGTTTAAACTATAATAACACATACCAATGTTGAGGTAAGGAGGTAGCTGAAACTATTAAATAATTGTAGCGGGGTAAAAGTAGCCTACTTTATTTCCCTCCAAGGATGAAGTAGCATAACATGGAAATACTCAAGAACAGTTAAGTAGTATGGCAAACTTGTACTTGAGTAAAGTAATTAATTCAATGTGTATACATGTTTGTAACTACAATATTTCTAATAGGTGTGTAGCAAGTGTATTGCATGCTCAGATTTTAAGATTTCAATTTCAAACCTTTATTTATCCAGATTGTCCCTTGAGATCATAGATCTCTTTTTCAAGGGAGACCTGCAAGATAATTCTTATTCAGTAGTAGAATGAACTATATTTACAACTTAGTAAAATGAAGATAGTTGAGGGTTTTCTGGGGGAACTTCTGCTACCCAGCAGTATAGAACTTATATATTAGCACCACCAATACCAGATTCAACATTAACATTATGGACACATTACTACAAAAATATATATAATCCAAGATATAGAATTATGCAATAGGCCATTCACTATGAGTTACACTACTATTGGTCGTTTGTGGTTGTCTGCTGAGTCCAGGTGATTGTTGATGGAGTTCTTCACTTTTTTATTTCAGCCCAATTTAATTTAGGTGGTCCAATTCTTTATTTTGATTAAAGCATTCAAATACTTTTTATATTTCTTTACAATTCATAAATATATTTTTTAAATGGTCTGTAACTATATCCATTCATTTCTTTAAATGGAAACAACTATGAATTAGTCTTGATATAACCAATTGTGGACGGTCAGGTACTAAACTTAAAAACAGAAAAAAACTAATATTATATTCTGTATTGTTATAGGATAAAAACTGTATAGATACCATGGTAAAATGCACGAATACCCCAGCAATATATATGTTTTAAAAAATACACTCAGCTGCAACATTATAGTGATGAACACATCAGTAAATCCTTAATTATAATTAAATCATGTAACTGATTATTCTAAGGAGGGCCATAGTGCAGAATGAGTGCTTTCACTTTATGTACATTTGTGTGCAAATACCTTAAATATTAATCATTTAAATAACTTTGAAAACAGGACTTTTAGTTATACTCTTACTTGTTACAGAGTATTTCTACACTGTGGTTTAATTAATTTGACCGAATTAAAAAAAGTTCTTTGTCCACCACTGGATGTCCCCCATGTTTCCTCTCCCTAAAAGCGCCCACAGTAAACCTCTTGGATCGAGGACAGAGGATTTATAGTCGGTAGGGAAGAATGGGACAACCCCGATGAACAAAAGACTCCCGAGTTTCAGCAATCTTCAAGTTTTTATTTGTTTACAAAGTTAAGATTGCAATTTCATATAGTCCTTCCTTTAATGAGTAGAAAACCTTTTTAAAGAATTAGTCGAAAGGCACAAATTTTACAATATATACATTTGGATCTAAATTATAAATATATAGAAAACAAAAGCACAACCCAGAATAAAAGTGCTGAACACAGTTTCTTTTTTTACAGAAAAAATAGGCTTTGTTTAAAAATACATACAATCAGTAGCATGTTTTTTGTTTCATTTTTTGTTAGCAATAAATTATTTCGAGAGTGATAAGATGATGTAATATGCAAACGGTGGAGAAACAAGAACAGATGGTTACAGTATACACAGAGCTATCCATCAAAGATCAGGAAAACAACAAGCTTGCAACGCTCAATCATAACCCACAAGAGAACAGTAACTTGATTATGCCATTCTTAGTGCAAAATGATAATAACGATAAAAAGGCCTAAAAACACTAATAAACTAGAATAAAAACAACGCTTTTTCTTCCTAAAAACGCGGTCCAAATCCCTCAAATGCATAAAGCTTTATTTTTGTGACTAGAAAAACAAAATTGAAGGCAAGTCTTTTGCAGACCGATGTCCGGGAATGTGCCTGATGAGGAATATTAAAAGCTAAGTTGTTGCAATGTTGCAAATGAAAAGAAATGAAGCGTTATCAAGAATCGGAGAAACTGGGAGTCTGAATCTAGAAATGTGTTTAACGCTGAGGCTTGGACAGATCGATTGCACGTATATAACCAAGATACGAATCGACTCTAAAACCCGCCAGCTTTAACATGAATTAAATGTCCAGCACAGATAAAATTGTCCACAGAAGAAAAAAAAAAGTTCCTTAAAAAGAAACAGCCGTTGATCTTTGCCCTAAGAAGGCATAAACATTTATAATCACTGACATGTTCACAAAGACAAACAACAAACCCATCACATTAATTCTAAAACATAAATACAGCAAGAGTCACAGCACAGTTAGGAACAGAATAGCACATGAACTGGTTAGTTTCACCGCTGTTAAAAGGGGATATGATATATTTCTGCCAACGCCCGCCGTTACACCTCTTGGTTTCTTCCTGAGATTGATAAAGGTCTGATATCTTAGAGCCAGTAACTTTTCGGGGGTGTCTGTGGAATACTTTGGTATCTCTCTGCAAATTGGAGGCCTGACAAAAGGTCTACGAGTTGGAGAAACAATTATTTTCGAGTGAAAGCAAAATTGAAATGAGCAGAAATAAATCCAGACACTGTACAGCAGTACGTACAGAACAGTGCAATCTTATTTGGTGGCAGGTTATAATAGAATTTGTTTTATAGTAATCTTGAAAACTAGAAACTTCCCTGACCAAAAACATTTCCATGACTATTCTAATAAGCAGGATAACATATCTAAAATCTAAATATCCCTTAAATATAAATAACAATAACTTTTCATAATAACGAGGACTAAAACATCATCCCGTGAAAACTTACTATACAAAGGTGGTATGCATTTCAGAATCTGTTTAACTAAAAGACTATGAAGCAAAACAGAAATAAAAGATTCATACCATGCAAAGGTAACCACAAAGCTTTGCCTGTTGAGCGTAAACAGTACTTAGGCATTTCTGTTTCACAATAAAATGTAGAATATGGTTTTATTGCTTTTTGATCACTTGAACTTATCCCGGCATTTTGTCATGAACCAACTACAGTGCATCGTTTCCACACAAACATGGCCAGATCTCACAGGTTTTTTTAAACATGTACTACCATACACAGAGAACATCACAAGTCTGCACGTTTCAAATGTTTTTATGGTCTTGCTGGCTGAAATGGAAACAGATTTGAATGAGAAATGGATCTCAGATTTTGCTAAAAACAACATGACTTTCATTTTCAGACATCAAGACAATAAAAACGTGAAATTCTTTGTCACTGTACTTCAAAACTAAATGTTTGTTGGTAAAAATGACACAAAACAACAACAAAGACTTTCCTGAGAAATTCAAAATCAGATCAAACCAGGAGTCACATCACTAAATGTTATTGTCAGATTTTAAAAAAAAAATGGGGGTGATAACATTTTTGGACATTTTTTCGTTATCCATGTTTGCTCAATAATAATCCGTGCCGCACTGACCGCACTGTCGCTCGCATCAACAGGGACAGAAGGACACAGAGAAGAAAGATAAGTCCGCCGCTCTATTATTTTAGGAGCAGCTACATACGAGCACACACAGAGTAATGGAGGCTTCTTCCTGAAACCCACCACCAGCATAGTGTAACACAAACATCGACTGACGGACTCAGGGGGGCTAAAAGATAAATACAAATACACCACGTTTAAATTAAAAAAATGAAAAACCAACGCTCAAGAGTACAAATCTATACATTAGGCTACATGGATTTTTAAAGACTGCATTTATAGATTTTTTCCAAAGGCACTGTTTGCAACAGCAGACTGCTCTTCCTCTCCCCTTTTCCTCACACTAGTGTTCATACAAGCAGGGAGGGAAACAAGAGGGAGCATGTAGGAGAACGAAAAAAGGAAAACTGAGGCATTTCATGGCTTATCAGCTAAAAGATTCCATCTGTTTGCTTTCCCCCCCATCTTCCAGTTCAATGTATCTTTTGTTCCACTCAAACCAAGCCTTGCATACAGCCTTGTTTTAGTCAAGACAAAACGGCCATGAAGCGAAGTAACAGTAAAGCAAAGTCTAAAGATGTGGTTAAAGCCGGTGAAAGGCATTGAGAGCTTCCAGCAACTTCACCAATCATACCTCGTCAAATCAGCAGCGGGAGGTTTATTAAAGATTTCTACACCTCTATGAATGAGCTTTTGTTTGGACAGCTCGTACGATCAATAAAATACAGTTATTACTTTTCACTTCTTTTATACAGCTGCCTTTCACTTTGGTGCAGAAATCTGATATTGATGGAGCCCGCTATGTATGGCCTAAAGCAGGTGAACGCTACAGGTGGGTAAAGGGAAGGGTGAGCCGAGCGCAGGACAGGCAGTGACGTGACTATAGGCCCTGAGGGGGAGGGGGGGAGGGAAGGTCCGAGGAGGCGTTCATAGACAGCAGCAAACAAGACACAATCTGCTTTAAAAGACAACAAAAGAAGAAGCAGAGTCCAGACGAGCTGTACTGTTCGAGCTCTCACTCTGGTGGGCGGTACTTAATGACGGACTTGCGATCTGCTGCCTCTTGCAGCATGATGTTCAGAGCCTCGCGGGCGTCCAGGGTGCCGGGGTGTCCGTTGGGTAATGAAAGCGAGTCTGACTGAGGGAGGAGATAGTTTGATGAGAAGCGAGGCGACGAGTTGGAAAACAGAGAGGAGGACGGGGACGGGCTGGAGAAGAGAGAAGACGGGGAGGGGGTGGGGAGGAGGCTGGAGGCGGGGGGGAGGCCGGCAGAGGCGAGAGGAACCAGGTTGTTGGAGGTGGAGGACGCAGAGGAAGAGCAGGAGGAGGTAGAGGAGGAAGGGCTGGCTTTCTGTGTGGGCATCTGGGGAGACAGGGGCAAGTCAAATAAATCTAACAAGTCTTGGTGGCTGTTGGCCAGCAGGTTCTGGCTCCTCTGCTGTAGATGCTGCTGCTGCTGCTGCTGCTGCTGCTGCTGCTGCTGCTGCTGCTGCTGCTGCTGCAAGAGAAGCGGCTGCTGGATCTGTGCAGCCTGCTGCTGAGCATTCGATGCAGTCTGAGAGATCAGAGACTCCAGGTTAAAGTCGTCTGTGAATGCAGCGTGGCCTGCCAGACTTTCCAGATTTAGCCCGCCGTCCATGGTGTCCGGGGAGGAGGAGCCCATAGTCAGATCCAAGATGTCATCCAGGGGATTCTTGGAGGGCAAGCTGGGCGACAGCGTGGTCTGTTGGAGTGAAGCGTTTTTCCTCTGTGGAAAAGGCGGTGCGAAGGACTGGGAGAAAAACTGGGAGCGGATGCTGGCCATGTTGGAGGCCTGGTTGGTGTTGAGCCAGCTGTTGTGGGTCCTCTGCTGGGATTGGCCGGGGTTTCTCTGTAAGGACAGCAGGGGGGCGTTCTTGGAGGGCTGCTGTAAAGCCGACTTGGCTTGGGCTTGCAGTCTCTGAAGCTGAGAGCTGCTCAAGCTCTGCCTTCGCTGAGCGTTTTCGTTGGGTTTCTGTTTGAGGAGCTGGCTCTGGCTCTGGGCGAGAGTCTGAGCGAGGGACTGGTTGAGCATCGGCTTGTGGATGAACAGATTGGCCAGGTGTTTGTTGTCCTGCTCCATCTTACGATTGCGGTCCTGAGCCTGCCGCTGCTCCACGGCCTGCTGCTCCCGCTCCTTCCGCCTCCTCTTCACCTCGTCGTCCATCTGCAGCAGCTCCTCTCGCACGCGCGCCACACAGTTCTCCGGGATCTTGATGCCTGCGTCAGAATGAGAGGACAGTCAGGTCATAGCTTTCAGGGAGGGAAATGCTAAAGTAGTGTTTTTATAGATTAATGCGAGTTAGATTTAAGACTTTAATAATGCCACTAGGAATTTCCCACTTTACAATAATGAAATGTCTATTGTAACATAAAATAGACCCCTTTTTTGTTGCTCAGCAGCAAAACATAAGCTATCCTGATCCGCAATCAGATGTTTGGGAAATTATTGAAATAATAGATAATTTGAGAATAATAGAATCATTTGAAATGGCACAGTCAGAAAAAATACAAAAAATATTGCATATTTAGGACTTTTGAAAGATTGATTTAAGAAACTATCAAACCAATGACGGCCATATTTTTTTATTCATAAACATTAATATAATTACTTTTGAAGAATCCATGAGAAGCCTGTTAAAGACTCAATTTATTATTTTATTGATAAACACAGCTGTTGACGGCTGTTTTATTTTATGTATCACAGCACATGTATTAAATGCAACAGTAAACAGACTGGTAAGTTTAGCACTGATTATGATATGTGCTCCAGTTTATGATTCTTAAAATAAATATTTACAGTGTTTTTTTCTCCTATAAAAGCAATATAAACTCCTATGTATAATATCTGTGTATAGTGCACAGAGAAAACAGATCCCACACTGATTCTCTGGTGAGCGTCATGCTGTTGGGATTTCATGGATGTTCAATTGCGAAATGTTCTGTGTGTCTGGCCTAATGATTTCATAACAGTCATATTGCGTCAATTTAGTGCAACCAGGAGTCCATAGGAGACAAATATGTGAGTGAGCGACAATTTCATTTCCTCAATGTGTCATAAAGAGGCGTCAGCACTTTGACAGCATCAAAATAACTCACTGTCAGGACATTCAAATCCACATTTAAAACAGTTTCTTCTATTGTGTCAATGTTTACAGAATATCCCTGCTTATATAAAAGGTGGGACCTATTCTAAACACCTCGTGGAAATGTGTGTTAGGAAAGTGAATATGATTTTTTATAAAGGGGGGGTTGTACTGACCGACTTGCTTGTTATGATGTTTGGTTTTTAGACGGACAATCTGCAGGATGCTGGAGCTGGTGATGTCCGACACCACGTCAGACACACGCTTCCACACACGCAGCAGAGCTCCACACAGCATGTGGTACTGACGAAGCCGCATGCCCTGCAGACACTCTTGACCTTCCTCTATCTTCTTACACTTCCCATTCCTAGGGACAGGACAGGAAAGACAAAGAATATTATTTTTTAAGAAGCACTCACTTTTCTACCATACCACTGTTTCAAGAAAACTGTATGGCAGGATTAGAGACGAGGGTTTAACCCTTAGATGCATGAGTGACTGGACCCTACACTCTTCCATAAGTAGGTCGAAAAGGGCCCGGAAATTGTGTTTTCATGCCATTTTTGTTAAGAAAAATCACTTGTATAATATTTAGTATTATATTTTGGTTCACACTAGAAATATTTTATATTTAATTTTTCACTATTTATAATTTTAGACATTTTTTTTACATTTTGAAGAAAAAAAATGAAGTTCCATAGAAAATGCATGCGGGTCATTTTTGACCCACTTATGGAAGCTTGGGGTAGTAATACAAAAACTACAATTTCTTAAAATGTAAATGTAAAATGTGAATGGCATGATATCCAAAACAAGTTTTTTGAGGAATAGCTGGAATATGAAATGATACAAAAATGTAATTACAAAGATACTTCAAGAAAACCACCTCACCGGGTCCAAAAAGACCCACTTATGCATCTAAGGGTTAAAGTTCATTGTTCATCCGGTGACGCGGGCACATGTGCGGGTTATTTCTTCATGACTAGTTCTCAGGTGATCTGCAAATCCTCAGGAATGGCATCGGACCTGTAAGCCACCCTGACTGCATTAATAGTAGCAGCCTGATTGGATGGATTGAGCCAATAATCCCACGGGACAATGAGGATTGCTGCTTACCAGTTGGCATGGCTGCACTTCTTGAAGGAGAAGTTGAACTGGTTCTCCCAGCTGTCCCTCGCTTCCTCTGAAGTCACCTGGGAGAGAACATTTGCAACATTTAAAATCAGCAAAAAAACTCATTTACCCAACTTTAAAAAATATATCTTAGACTAAGTGGAAACTTAAGTTAAAAGAGGCTTCTTTAACTTCAGACTAAAAGTCATATTTTAGTTTTACCTAGTTTTTGATTATTGTCAAGATGAAAATAACTATTGTGTTTTTGGTTTAGGGGTAAAGAACATTAATAATAACTTTTTTTTAATGTATGGAAGAGAAACAGTTATAATTTAAATAAACAACATTGGCATGAACTTCATCCTCTTCATGTATATGTATTTCTAATTGTTACGCCAAGTGCCTTGAATATTTCACAGTTCAGTACTCCTCCATGGCCACCAGGGGGCATCAGACTCCATATTTAAATGACATTTACTCCAAATAGCAAAGGGAACACTTCAAGCTTTTCTTATGTCAATCCTTCCCTATAATCAAATGTTGTTATTGTTATCTTAAAGAAACTCTGAAGAAAACATAACAAGCTCAAATATGACCTTTAACATATTTAGATGAAAGAAAAAAATGTTCTCTCCTCGTTTTGGAGACATTTTACAGTACATAAACCATAGAGACAAAACTATAATCCTGACAGATTAAAAAATCCACAATTTAGTTTATTACCTTTCTGTAGCGCAGCTGCAGGTTGTCCAGGCTCTCGGGGTGCGTCTGCTTGCCGATGTTGGGCTTGTAGACGATGAGGTTCTTGCCTCTTCCCTGCTCAGCTAGCAGCACACATGGGTGGTTCCCTCGCAGCTGTGGAGAGAGCAGTGGTTAAATATTTACTCCGTTTAAGGGACTAATAGCATTTTCAGTGGACAACCATTGAGTCATCACATGCTAATCTGAGAGGTCTGTATTCAAATAGAGATATAATGCCTTTTATAGTAATCCTCAGGTTCAGTTAGCTTATTATAACATGGACTCACCTTCAGCGACAGGTAGAATCCGTCATCGGGCCCGCTGAGCTTCAGGGACCGGTTCAGGGCCTCGTCCCAGGGCATGCCTCGGTCCACGCTGATCTGCAGGGACACAAGGAATCAGAGATGTAAGCATGTGCTGGGAAAAAGAAAGATGGGGGACCAAGCAGCTGCGAAATCACACACTGCTGTCCGGAAGGTGAGACCGACTCTTGAATGGAAACTCCAAAGCATGTCCTCCAGAAAGTATACACAGTCGTGGGATGATGATGAGACAATGGGCCCGTGGGTACAGACATTTAAAACCCAACACCTGTCTTATATTGGAGCAAGACACGGTCTTTATAGTTGTTGAGTGTCTTTTTATTGTTGTGTGGTGTCCCTGTGTGGTCATTGGGCGTGTCTTTGTAGTCATTTTGCTTCTTATATGGTCGTTTGGTTCGCTTTGTGGTCATTCTGTGTTCCTTTGTGGTTGTTTAGTGTCTTTTATGGTTGTTTTGTGTCTCTGTGCGGTAAGTGTTTCTCAGTGTTTTGTGTTCAGACTTTTTGTAGCCATTTGGTGTCTCTTTGTATTTACATTGTGTCTATTCTTAGTTGTTTTATGTTCTGTTGTTGGCGATAACTGACTACAGTTGCAGGTGAAGCCCAGAGGAGCCGTGACACTCTTGGCATCTGTGCCTGCAGGCCTGTTCTGTAACTCATTCATGCTTCACTATTCCTCTATACTCGCATAACAGGTCCTAGCTGTGCAGCGTTCTGCCTGGCTACAACTTTGAAATGTCAAAGGCAAGTCAGCCTGCAGCCGAAAGCAGAAGATTTTTCGTAATTATCCTGTTCTCATCTGCCACTCGTGTCTACATAGGCCCCCTTTAGCCATGGGCTAATCCTGCACGATAACAGCCTTACTTCTGGCAAAGTGACATCCATTGTCATTTAGTCTAGAGGTATCTTCTCGAGTTACCTCTTGGTCTGCAGCTAATGTGGAACACATTCTTTACCAACTTTCTTTGTTTGCAAATCCTTTGTGCACTGTGCAAACTGCAAACATTGTCAGGAAATCCTGAATAAATGTATCCTCATTCATTGGATGTTCCTACACTATCAGTGGATATTGCTTTGTTGGCATTTCACGTGGACTTTCATAGTTTTGGTCTGTTGGGAGCCTTCAAGCCCCGCTGGGTTTATTATAAAAGGAGAGGAGAAGATTTGCATATTTTTGGGGTCATGTTTATTCATAGAATTAACCTTTTTGTTTGGAATGTGTGATGCCTCCAGATCAGCCTGTTAATGTGCCTCTGCTCCTCACACTGTCTGAAGGGATTGATCCAGTCTCTCAAAGCTTCTCTTCAAAATCTAATTTGTCACTATTTACTAAATGTAAGAATTGCTGTTTATTTGACCAGTTTGACATGATTTGACCAGTTTGCTCCACTCCAATACCGCTACAGGATTATTTAAGAGACAAGACACTAGATCATGTTGAAAATAAAGCAGATTTCAAGGAGTATCTCAAGAGACAATTATGATATTTTGAACATAGGATTTTAGTCTCACAACACATGTTTCACAAAAGCTATCTAACAATGTACTCGACCTGAGATGCTTACCTTATAGAGAACAACCTGTCCATCCTGAGGGTTTCCAACTGTCATGAACGTTTCCTGCTTCTCCTCATAGATCTCATCGTTACCTGGAGCAAGGTCTGCCAGAGAGAAAAGAGAGCAAGCAAACCAAGACGATTACTAACATTAAAAGATCAGGAACTGTCTGACAATCACATACCAATGTATGGTATGCACACCGACAATTGAAGAAAGGAACAGACACTATTGCCAGATTTAGCAACCATACCATTTATAAAAATAACGATGTTAGAATCCACACTGATGGAGGTTAATGTTCTGTAAACAGTGGCACCATGCAAGTGCTTAAACTCCACATTTGACCTCCATACCTAGGATTCCCATGTCATATTTGCCCTCCTTCTTATCCTTCTCGATCAGGTAGTCAAAGTTGTCAGTGAAGTACTGGAAGAGATGGTTCTGCTTGTGGACCTCCAGGCCCAGGATGCGGTTTAAGAACTTTGTGATGCTGCAGTCTGGGATAAAAATGCAGAACAATTAATGTGGCTCATTTTTTCATCACAAATAAACAAATAATGCGGCTTTCACACCAGCGCTTTTCCCTTTCTAGGTCCGAGCGGGAGCTTTTCTGGTTCAGCTCCGGTTTCCCTTTTCTGCTCCCGCTCTGTTCACACAGAGCTGCCGCTGCTGCGTCATGACGTCACCGTTTACGTGCCTGCTTCATAAAATCCAAACCGCGCGGAAATCCCTCACATCGACAACGACAATGGCCGATTGTTTTGAAGCGCTGTTCACTTTGGTTATCCTCTTACGAAACCAAATGGAAGGCATCGGACGACTTTACAAGGGACGACTTTACTTGGAACTTTACAAACATCACATGCGAAATGCAAGACTTCTTTGTGGTCTTCAGCATCTACTTCAACGACGAATCCGTAGGGAAAAGAAGGTAAATATAAGCCCCCGCCTCGACGTAAGAGAGACTTAAGCGACGCCACCTCTTAGCTCCGAAGCTCTTGCTCAGACCGACAATTTTTTGGAGCTGGAAGTGAACCGGATTCCGGAGCTAAGAGGCGGCGCCTCTGCGGTGTGAACAGGGAAAACCGGTACTTTTCAGGCTCCAGCTCCGAGCCGGAGCTGAAAACGCGTTGGTGTGAAAGGAGCATAACAGAGCTAAGGAATTGTGTCTGCGTGCATCTTGGACACTCTACCTTTCTCAGTATTGATCCCAAAGCGTGGCTCCCTACAAAAGATGCCTACATCCATCATCCCAATCTTCATCTCTGAAAAAGAAAAAACACTAGTTTTAGTGATCAATCACAGTGAACATGCTTAGGAGTTGGTTCTCTGTTTACAGATGCTGACAGTAAACAACACCTCAACAATAACTCACCTCTGAAGAACATGGCTTCACCCCCAGGGTATCCTTTGGGAGGGGGCACCTTGTTCTCTATATGGCCAAGGATTGCTTTGGTGATTTTATCTAGAGCCTTGGTGCCATACTGCAAGAAATAGGGGCATGTAATCAGTATAGGAACATTATCTGAGAACAATCACTTAGGAATTTAGCAACACAAATTAACAGTGAGAAAAATAAATCCTCTTTAAAGCTTAAAAATAATCATGTTTTCAAACTTTAAAAAGTCAGGTCAGTTACATTTTCTTACCTTGTTCTCGAAATTGTACTTGCTCAGGTCTCTGGATTCTGTGGCTCTTCTGTCTCCGTGGGTTAATGCACCCTGCAAAGTGGATTAGCACAAGTGGTACTATTAATATTAGCAGTATTAGGTTTACAGCCTTCAGAGCTTCGTCACATTAATACAGATGGACAAAGTGACGTCGGATAAATCTGTGTTTGCCGTTCATCAATAGAACACATCCCGACTTCACTGCTTAGCGTTGGTATGAGAGGATGAGCATTACCTACACGAATGGATAATGTGCAGCCGTTATAGGATTACTTTGATTACAATGGCTAAGAGCGTGGACTTGTTGCCCTCTCGATCATAGATCCTGCTCTTTTAATGATAAGAGAAACATTATTTAACATAATTGAGGAGTGAGGATATTGAATTCAATATTCACAAGTTGGCAAAGCACAGAAATAAAGATACAAATAAGATAATAAGAATGTTGGGTTCCCTGGAAATGTTTAACTATGATTAGCAAATATGCCTAATATGTCTGATACAGCTGTTGTTTCCTAGTAATGTGTACCTAAAGCAAAGTTAAAATCCAGTCACAGATCCAGGGATTGAACCTGTAGTAGTCTCACTTTGAAAAAGGTCACATTGTTATTGCAAGTACATTGACTCTGCACCAAACAGCAGCATTGTGATATAGTGGAGAAACATCATTCAAACACAAGTTTATTTTTATGATGGGTATAACTAAAAGCCCAGCCTGCCTTTGTATTATCTTCCATACCCGTAAGATCTTAAGTGAACTGGAAAGGGAGCGGTGAGGGAAAACTTGAAGAAGAAGCAAAGTCAACAGAAGATCAGCAAGCTGCTGGCTCTGCCTACACAGAAAGATGTCTTGAGATACCAAAACAAAGAATATCTGAGCCAAATATGACTTCACTGCTGATCTGAAGTCTGCCCGTTTCTAGGGATCGTCAACAATCCAAGTATAAGCGACTGTGTGTGTGCGTTTGCGTGTGTGTGTTGTATCGGGTTCAGGCATGCAGAGGACATGTGACCTATGCTTGATGCTGATTTACCGAACAAACCTGGCAACCGCATGAACGACTTTCGGGAACCCTTCTTGCTGTTTTCCCAAAAGAAGTGTCATGCTGTGTCACTATGGAGATAAACGACTGCTTGCACTGAAATGCATTGATAATTATGGAAAGTAACCCCCGAGAGTTATAAATTATTCAGACAAACATTTTTGCTTTTTCTGCTTATTCAGTTTTCCGTTATTGAGCCGGAGAAGGGGAAGACCCAGAATCTCTTGAGGTTTGTGGAGAAAAGTTGATAATAAAAGAGACTCCATGGACGAGCCTGGGAATACCCCGTGCCACAGGAAGGGCAAGGAGTGAGGCTGAGAGGGCAACGCGTTGGCAACCTATAACAATCAATAAATACTAACTCTCCATTTACAAAAGAAACACTCTTCTCACAATCCAAAGGACAACAAGATGAAAATGATTGTTTTCCCATGAGACAGGTTTCCCTCAGTTAACAGGAAAATTACATAAAAGTAGTAAAAATCATTCAAAATAAAAGGAGATGCAACACAACAACACCCACACATTCACATTTGTAAAAGCTCTATTTACCAGGCTCTCTAGTCTCTTCGCCACAATGGAGGCAAAACGTCTCTCCCCGGCCAACTCTGAAATGAGGAAGATGTACTCTGGAGCCGTGACCTGATTGGACCGATGTGTGCGACCTGCAGAGACAAGACAAAAACAATGATAAGACATTATTGATAACATTTGAAAAGTTCCAGTCACTCTGAGTGCAACATTTTTCAACAGACAGTATCAAAATCCAGACAGACAAAAACAGTTACAGATTTGATGACAACTTGTTTCTTCTTAAGAAAAGAGGAGTAAGAAAGGGGATCTTTATGATGACATAAGAAGTTTTGCAACATCAGGTGAGATCTGTTCTTAAATCGACAGTTTCACACTATGTTTCAGACCCTGAACAGTGCCTTATTCACTAACAACTAGAAACTGGAAGCTGAGAAGAATTCCTTAGAACCTCTATGAGGAAATGAATATAACTGTAACAATGTGTGTTTGTGTATGTGTATGTGTATGTGTGTGTGTGTGTGTGTGTGTGTGTGTGTGTGTGTGAGAATTAAGATAAGAGAACACTAAGAAAGAAGGCTGCTTACAAACTAATTATTACTAGCAAACAGTTTTATAATTACGTCAAACTNTTAGAACCTCTATGAGGAAATGAATATAACTGTAACAATGTGTGTTTGTGTATGTGTATGTGTATGTGTGTGTGTGTGTGTGTGTGTGTGTGTGTGTGTGTGTGTGTGTGTGTGAGAATTAAGATAAGAGAA